CCAGAGCTGAGTGCACTTTTTCTTTCACCAAATCCCCCACTGCACTGGGTAAATACCACTGACAGATTTTCCTCCTCCTTGGTATCCCTCGGGGCATTCCTCACCACGCCTCTCCCAGGAAGAACTCCACAGCCTCAGTACTACCGGGAGACTTCCTGCACTGAGCCCCGGGTAGTCCTTCCAAGTGCTTGGATTATTTACCGGAGAAAGGTGTTTACAAGTGAAAATCAAAGGTCTGAGAGGTGACGGGTCACCTGGACAGTTCACAGGTTATCACACCCTCTCCCAGGCTCCACTGTGTTCAGGTATTTTCTTTGACATCTCCAGTCACTCCTCACCAACAGTTTGTTCAGGGCCAAGTGGTTTACCCTCTCCAAGAGGGGCCTCAGCTTCTTTTCAAGGTCATGTCTTTCTTTCTTACCCCACCCCCACCATGTGCCAAACCAGGTTAAGTACAATTATAACAGGCAGTATCTTTTTTTTTTTTTTTTTTGGGCAGTTGTGGGGCTTGAACTCTGGGCCTGGGCGCTGTCCCTCAGCTCTTCAGCTCATGGCTAGTGCTCTATCACTTGAGTCACAGAGCCACTTGTTTTTTGTTTATGTGGTGCTGAGGAATCGAACCCAGGGCCTCATGCATGTGAGGTAAGCACTTTACCTCTGAGCCACCTTCCCAGCCAGGCAGTTCTTTTTAAAGAAAAAAAAAAAAAAAAAAACTTGAACAGGCCAGACTCCAGTGGCTCATACCTGTAATCCTAGTTACTTAAGAGGCTGAGAGCATGGTTTGAAGCATCCCAGGTACTAAAGCCCCTGAGATTCTTATTTTTAATTGACAACTAAAAAGCAAAAAGTGGAGCTATGGCTTAATTGGTAGAGCACTATCCTTGAGCAAAAAAGCTCAGGGAGGAGGGCTGGGAAGGTGGCTCAGTGGTAGAGCGCTTGCCTTGCATGCATGAGGCCCTGGGTTTGATTCCTCAGCACCACATAAGCAAAAAGAAAAAAGCTGGAAGTGGCGCTGTGGCTCAAGTGGTAGAGAGCTAGCTTTGAGCTGAAGAGCTGAGGGACAGCGCCCAGGCCCAGAGTTCAGGCTCCACGACCGGATCCTAAAAATTAAAAAAAAAAAAACAAAAAAACTCAAGGACAGCACTTAGTCCCTGAGTTGAAGCCCTAGGACCGGCACAAAACAAAACAAAAATTATAAACAGAACAATGGGAGAGGTAACATTGATCAAGATGCTTTGTACTCATAATCTGACTGGTGGAGTTGAAACCTCTTTGTACAACTACTTAAAAAGCGGGAGAGAGGGCTGGAAATGTAGCTTAGTGGTAGAGTGCTTGCCTCGCATGCATGAAGCCCTGGGTTCAATTCCTCAGTACCACATACACAGAAAGTGGCACTGTGGCTCACATGGTAGTGTGCTAGCCTTGAGCAAAAAGAAGCTCAGGGACAGTGCCCAGGCCCGGACTTCAAACCTCAGGAATAGCAAAACAAAACAAAAACAAGCAAACAAACAAAAAATGGGCACTGTTGGCTCATGCCTGTATACCCCAGCTATTCAGGAGGCTGAGATCTGAACATCACAGTTTGAAGCCAGTCAGGACAGGGCAGCAAAGTCTGTGAGTCTCTTATCTCCAATTAATCCCAGAAAACTCGAGAAGTGGTGCTGTGGCTTAAGAGGTAGAGTATTAGCTTTGAACAAAAAAAAGGATCTCAGGGACAGCATCAGAGTTCTAGCCCCGTGGACCAGCAAAGCAACAACATCAAAAAAGCAACAGTGTTCTGAGACCATGAGTAAGGCATAACCAACTGTTGCCTAATAAGTACAAGAGCAGATGTTAAAAAAGAGAGGAGAAAAAGTAAGAGAGAGAGAGAGAGAAAAGGACATCCTGTAATCTATTCTCCCAGAGAGGGCCACTTGCTCACATTGGAGTTCCACCCCACCTATTGGCTACTTTTTATCAGCAGCTTCCCCCAGGAATCTCCAGTTTATCCCCCACTACCTTACCCTTCCCAGACTCACTGCCAGATGTGTCCTAAGCTGCCTCCTTTCTTACCCCATACCAGCCCATCTAGCTACCTGGCTGTTCAGTCCCCCAAGATGCTCTGCCTCTGCTGCCTCTGTTTCTTTCATCAACCCTCAGGATCTGTCTGATATTATCATCTGCAGCCTCTGACCCCACAGGACCATATTTGCCTCAAATCCTCTGTGTGTGTGTGTGTGTGTGTGTGTGTGTGTGTGTGTGTGTATGTGGCAAGCACTCTACCACTTGAGCCATGCCTCCACTCTTGGCTTTTTGGTGGTTAATTGGAGATAAGAATATCATCAACTTTCTTGCCTGGACTTGCTTGGAGCCGAGATCCTTAGATCTCAGCCTCTTGAATAGCTAGGATTAAAAATGTGAGCCACTGGTGCCCAGCTTGTTTTTGAATCCTACTTTGGCTTGATCACTTAGTGCTTGATGCCTCTGAGCTATAGTTCCCACAGCAATCCACCCAAAACTAGGACCCTTTCCTTTTTTGGTTCACAGGGAAGCTGAGATGTGAAATTCACTAACCAAAGATTGCTGTCAGTCCGGAAGCATCTTCTGCCCCCTAAGTGGGTGAGGCTGTTATCTCAGTCAATCAAGGGGCAGTTGAGGTAATCCTGCTGTGCGAAGCAGGCAATGGGCTCCAAGGGCTAGATGGACTGAGCTATGGACTCTCCTTTGGGCTTTGCCCAAAGGAGAAGGGAAGGGGACCCAAGGAACCATTGAACCCAGTGTACAGGGGAAGCTCTGGCTTGCTGACAAACCAGCTTGACTGGGGACTGGGACATCTGTCACACAGGTGGCTTGGGGACCTGGCAGAAGGAGAAGAGCTGCAAGAGCTTGGGTATTGCAATTTTGGTTATGGGAAGCCCTCTTAGAAGCCTGCTAAGTGCAGTGGCTCCTGATCCAGTCAGCCTGGGGCATCACTTTCCCTATGGGCCTTATTGCTCTGCTGAACCGTTTGGGTCTTGGGTAGGGCAAGGTATTATGGTGAAAGTCCCAGTGGAAGATTTCATCAGGACTTTGTACCATGAATTTGATATTGGAGGTTCACGGGGCTGGGAAGGTGGCTCAGTGGTAGACCGCTTGCCTTGCATGCATGAGGCCCTGAGTTCGATTCCTCAGCACCACATAAGCAAAAAGAAAAAAGCCGGAAGTGGCGCTGTGGCTCACATGGTAGAGTGCTAGCCTTGAGCTGAAGAGCTGAGGGACAGCGCCCAGGCCCAGAGTTCAGGCCCCATGACTGGATCCAAAAAAAAAAAAAAAGATATTGGAGGTTCACCATGCCAAGGCTAGAGCCCTCAGAAATGTTCCCCGCAGCCAGCCACTGGTGGCTCACACCTATAATCCTAGCTATGCAAGAGGCTGAGATCTGAGGATCACGATCCAAAGCCAGCCCAGGCAGAAAAGTCCATAAGACTTTTTTTTTTTTTTTTTTTTTTTGTCGGTCGTGGGGCTTGAACTCTGGGCCTGGGCGCTGTCCCTCAGCTCTTCAGCTCAAGGCGAGCGCTCTACCACTTGAGCTACAGCGCCACTTCCGGTTTTCTGGTGGTTTATTGGAGATAGGAGTCTCACGGTCTCTCCTGCCCGGGCTGGCTTTGAACCGCAATTCTCAGATCTCAGCCTCCTGAGTAGCTAGGATTACAGGCGTGAGCCACCAGCGCCCGGCAACCATAAGACTCTTATCTCCAATTAACCACTAGAAAACCGGAAGTGGTACTGTGGCTCAAAGTGGTAGAGCTGTAGCCTTGAGCAAAAGAGCTCAGGAATATCACCAAGTTCAAGCACCAGTAATGATCAAAAAAAGAAAAAAAGTTTCCAGCTCTGTCTAGGGAGGTTCCTGGGATGGTTCAAAGAGTCTGTGACTATTCCTTGGGTACCACCTGGTGCTCTAAGAGGGCAGGTGATAAGATCTGGGGGCTGGGGGCAGGAGGCCTTAGGCTACTTTGAAGCACAGCTGCCCATCCTTGGGGCCTTCCTCTTCCCATCCCAGCTCTTCCTCAGCGCTACTTATCTGCCACAGGCAAAGTTACAGAAAAGCTGCAGCTGCTCTCCTTATCTCAAGCCTAAGGAGCCAGAGGGGAAGGGTAGGACCTCCGGATAAGGGTCAGTGTGCCACAGCAATTCAGAGTGCCGGGAAAGGCTACCTTTCATCAGGAGCCCGGGCTGCCTTTGGAGTGCTCCCATATCTCATTCTTACAACCTAGCAGACAAATGCCCATAAATGAGGGGGACCCATAGAGACAAGGGTTCCTGGGAGCCAACCCATTCTGTCATCCGTTAGAATGGGATTTTGTCCTGTTTCACCTCTGAAGTGTCCACTGGCAAGTATGAGGGTGGAGTTGGTAGGAAAGGTGTGCAGAGATTTACCCCAAACCATCATCCACCTGCCTCCTCTCTCTTCACTTGACTTCAAGGCCATGCCAAGGTTTGTACAGGAGAGGTAAGCAGAACCAGGGAGCTGTAGGCCATATCTCCCCTCCCCTAATGGGGCTTCCTTTTGCTGCTTCAAGGCTATCTATGAAACAGTGGCACCCCAGCAATGCCCATAGGTATAGGTGCAGACACAGAGTGCACAGAGATCAGAGTACAAGGATCCCTCTGGATTTCATCTGCTGGGGAACACTCACAGTTCTGTGTGAGTGTGGTCCTGAGGCCCATTTGTGTGTGGGGGGGGGAGTGTGTGTGTGTGTGTGTGTGTGTGTGTGTGTGTGTGTGTGTGTGCGCGTGCGCATACGCACGCACTCAGGTGGTAGGACTTGAACTTAGCTCCTCACACTCTCATTTTTAGCTTTATCGCTCAAAGCTGCTGTTTTACCACTTGAGCCACACCTCCACTTCCCTGAGTCCATTTTGAAAATGCCTTTCCTGGAATCTTGCTGGACTCCCAAGGAGGGACGAGTCTGCCCTCAGGCCACTGGACCTGAGAGACCAGGGCAGAGTTAAGGAAGCATCCATCTGTTCTGTTTCCCCAGGTCTGCTACCTGTGCCATAGCCTCCTGACACTAGCTGGGGTGGTGGTCAGCAGCCAGGACATTACTCCAGACCAGTGGGTGAGTCTCCCAAGATGCTAGGCCAGAGTAGGGTGGGGTGTCCAGCTGTGTGGGAGGGGTCAGGATGGAGCCAGCTCTCCCTCAGGAACTGCAGAGTGAGAGGCCAGGGAAAGATGCTGAGCGTGCCAGGGCCTCTTCCTCCCACTGAACCCCTCAGATTTTCACAAGGCATCCTGTCCTGTCCCTGGGTACTTGTCCCAGCCCTATCCTCCCTTTCTTGCCCAACTTCCAAGCAGTCATAGAGATAGCTCTCCCCCTGTCTGACCTAGCACTCCCTCTTGACCCCTCCTCTCCTTGGGATGTGCCTGGATCATGCCATACACCCTCCCTCTGGTCTCCACCTCCACAGGGAGAGCTGCAGCTGCTGTGTATGCAGTTGGACCGCCACATCAACACCCATATCCGGGAGAGCCCCCAGGCCATGCACCGGACCAAACTCAAGGACCTGGCCACCCAGATCTACATCCGTTGGCAGGAGCTGTTGGCCCACTGTCAGCCCCAGGTGGTGCCCCTTAACCCCTTAGACCTAGGAGAGGAAGGAAGTGGTCAGTTGGGCAGAGCTGGCCAGAGCCAGCAGCATGTCCACCCCCACAGCAGCTGCTAAGCTCCAAAGGGACTGGATGGACAGGGCCGGGGGATGGGAAAGAATAGAAATGCCTCAGGGACCTTCATCATTCTTATCCAGAATCCTGTGCCCAGGATGGTAGTGCCAGTGTAGGGGGAGGGGTGGCAGATAGAGAGAGGCCTGTTCCTGACCAAATGCAAAGAGAAACTAAGCTCCGGGGAGTGGATTCTTTTGTCCGGAGCAAGGCCAGTAAGGGGCACCAGAGGCTCCAGCTATGCATGTATCCTGCAGGCGTTGGACTGGCCTCATACTCCATTGGAGGAACACTCCTAGGCTCTGATTTCTGTAGCAGCAACTTTAGCCCTTGACTTTTCTCGGAACTTCTAGGTAATAACGTTTATTGCTAAAATATTTGGGCTAAGGATCCATTTCAACATGAATCCCTAAGATCCTCACAAAGCCAGGGCTGTTAGGAACCCATTATACAGATGAGCAAGCTAACCAGAGGCTCCTCCTCACTGAATAACTTGCCTTGCCCCATCCTGTAGGCAGCTCACGTGAGTGTAAGCATCACACTCAAGGCCCAAAGCCAACCTGACTCTCACGCCTGTGCAGTCTCCACTTACACCTTCGCTTCTGGCCTCCATTAACCCAACACACAGCATATTGGTGGCATGGCTTGGGGAGTGCTCCTGCTCCAAGTCCCCAATCCTTGATGGAAACAACTGGGGCTGGCAGGTGCATTGCTGTAACTTTCCCTCCCATGGCTTCCTGCTCCCAGCTTGCCTTTCTCTGCCTCTTCTCTTGTCCTTCCCTCTAACCTCTGACTTAGGGCTGACACCTCAGCCATAGGCTGTGACTTAGGGCTCAGATTTCACCACGTTTCTGATAAAGCTGGACGGTAGACCTAACCCTGATCCCCTAGGAACTGGATCAGTCTAGTATCCAGTGGGAAGACAAGGCAAAGTGGTTGGTGGCCTGGTGGCCAGGTACAGGCACCTTCCTTCCAAACTCCCAGAACCTGTGTGGCAAGACCCTCTCTTGGCACTGTGGTCAAGTGGTCAAGTGATCTGTTGACTGCCTATGTTTTGCTCACATAGCACCTTACAGAGAGGCCATTAGTGGATATATTTTTTTAACTTTTTTTTTTTAATTGTGAAAATACTGTACAGAGGGGTTCCAATTACATGGGCAAGATAATGAGTACATTTCTTATCAAGCCTCCTCCTTTGTTTCTCCTTTCCATCCCTTCCCATCCTCCCCCCGCCCTCCCCCCCATTAGTGGATATTGAATGGACACTGTGAGTTCAGGGACAGGGGTCAGCACCCAAGGTCAGACATCATGGCCCATTTTTCTCCTTAGGCTCAGTATTTCAGTCCGTGGAAAAGCACATAAAGAGGCAAGAGCAAGGCAGCCCAGAGCCTTTCATTTCACTAGTGATCAAGGCATTGAAGAAGTCAAAAAAAAAAAAAAAAAAATGGAGGCCAGAGGAAGCCAGATGCTGACCTGCCTGATGAAGCAAGAGCCTGCCACCATCACACCCAAACCCCTAACCTGTAGGGGTCAGCCTCTCCCAGCTGGACCTACCCTTCAGCTCCCCTGCCCCACCCAGCTATCTCTCTGCTTCCCTAAGGCCTTGACTCCATAGCTCTGGCTTCCTGGGGATCTGGGGCTCTCTTAACTGGCCATAGTTTCCCCTATCTCCTTCCTTTCTCCCTGTCACAATTGTGAGGTTCCTTTGTGCACATTAAAGTCTTGTGTTCAACATCAGTGGTTTAGGAGACTTTCTTCAATCCCTATCCTGAGAGCCAACTGCCCAGTGCTGAATTGTCACCTCTGACAGTCATTTGATGGATTCAAGTCCCACCCCTGCTCCCTACCACACTGTAGATCCCCACTGAGGAGCATTTAGTCCTGTGGTCCAAGAGGTGGTAGGAGCCTCAGAGCTGGGATAGGGAACATTGTTTGAATATAGTCAGAGGCTACTTCCAACTCTACTGGGGAGGCCATGTGGAATCAGATGGTGGGTCAGAGCTGTAATTATGCTTAATTCAATTTATTACAAAGCTCTGAGTCCAATTCCCCAGAATTAGGAGTGGAGGCTGGGGTGAGGAGGGGAGTGGTCCAAATTACAGTCCCAGATCTTGCTATTGCTTCCCTTGGCCTTCTTCAGATCAGTTTAATAGGTCTGGATCCCTAGAGCAGGGTACTGGATATCTTTGACTTGAGAAATGAGTGTTCTCTGTGTCCCCAGGAGGCCCCTGGGTGTCCACTTTCTCTGTCTGGTCACTCCTAAGAATCCCTGGCTAGGCTGATCTGTTGGGTTGAAGCTTTGCAGGCAGTACAAGAAGTGGCCAGAAAGTGGCATAAGAGGTGCTGGGAAGGTGGCTCAGTGGTAGAGCGCTTGCCTTGCATGCCTGAGGCCCTGGGTTCGATTCCTCAGCACCACATAAGCAAAAAGAAAAAAGCTGGAAGTGGCATTGTGGCTCAAGTGGTAGAGTGCTAGCCTTGAGCTGAAGAGCTGAGGGACAGCGCCCAGGCCCAGAGTTCAGGCCCCACGACTGGACCCCCCCCCCAAAAAAAAGAAAGTGGCATAAAATGACCCTGTTAGCCTGTGCCCACACATCAACTAAATTCCAAGGTCTCTCATGGAGCTTTCTCTGTTTATGTGTCCTCTCCTTTCTTGTCTTTCATATACAAGGGGCTATGGTAAAGTGGATTAACTAAAAGACACCCCGTCCCCCAAATAAAGGAACTTTAGGACAAGTGGCACAGACTCAAAATAGATCTCAGCTCTTCCTGGGCCTGTTTTTAGGTACAGCTGCCTCACTCTGTCCCCAGAATGCCAGGAGCTGGGGATATCTATTATTCAGAGAGCACAGCACAGCACCAAGTGCACACAGGACTTTTTTTTTTCTGCCTCAAAGTCTTTGCCACATGAGAAGTGGAAGAAACCCTCCCAGGGCCAGAGTGAGTTGGATGCCCATGGGCTTGACTCAGAGTTCTGGTTTCTCTTCCTGGCTGCATCACATGCCACTTGGCTGGGGACAGCACCGTAGCCCAGCAGCGTCAGGTAGGCCTCCGAAAACAGGGACTCTAGGGAGCCAGCCTCTTCTCCTCCCTTGGGGCCTGTTGCTGCTTCTGCTATTGCATATCCTGACAATCTTCAACTGTTCAGTTTGCTCCGAAACCTGGAATTTACCTTGAAATTTCCCTTCTTTGTTCTTACTGCCAAGCACAGATGAGGAATAGGGAGACTGAAGACACTGAACTGGGGAGTTTCCAGTTCTTGAAGCTGCGCCTACCTGGTTCTGAGAACGGAATCAAGCTGTCCATCAAGGCAGACATCTAAAGTCCTCTTCCCCAGGCCTGACTCCCTGCTCCTCAAGCAGACTCAACCCCAAGAGAGAAATGGATACCAAGGGGAGAGGAGGTGTTGGTGACAACTCAGTCTCTCCAGAGACCTGGCTGTAACCTGAGCAGAAGTATGCACTGTGAGGTTGCCCAAGGGCGGACACTATCCCCTGGGCCATGTAATGTGCCCTGTCTGGGACTGGCTAGGAGCTGACCAAAGAACTACAGCCAGGCTGGCATCAGTTAAAAACCTGCTTTCCTCAAAGCCAAACACTTAGCAGTATTGCTGGCAATTTTACCATTTGCTTTCCAGGTCTTTGACCCTTCAGCCCCTGGGAAAAGGCAGGGGATATCCTGACAGAAGCCACTGGAAAAACAGCATCCGGGGCTGTGATGACGGATGTTTTCCTGCTTCCTTTTGGTGATGGTGACAGGGAGGGGCTGGGAAGGGAAAGGCTTCCCAGGTGGACAGCTTTGATAACTCTCCTATTGGAGGAAGTAGAGAGGAAGTTGTTTTCCTATGTCCTAGCTCCTGGGTCTCCAGGTCCTCAGAAAGCTCCCTGGAGGGTGGCTCACCCAACCCTTTTCACTTCCCCATACATATGTGATTGAGAGCAGCTCCTTGTTGCCTTGGAAATGGTCCAGGTGGCCTTGACTGGAGAACCCGATGTGTGCCCTGGGTCTGGACAGAGAGCTGCCGCTAGAGAGTGGTCAGTGAGTAGCTCAAATGCAGGGCACCAAAGCCTATGACCAATAGGGCCATCTATGGAAGTTGGTCTGAGCTCCTGGGGAATCTTGGGGAGCCTGGGGAGGCATGTAACACATCTTCAGGTTTTTCAGGCTTAAGATCTGAAGGGTGGATGCCTCCCATAGAATATGCCAGGCAGACTACACAGGTTGATGAGCCTTCCTCCCCCTCCCCCCCACTTTCTGGTTTTAATCTTTTTCTTAATAGAAGACACAGGAATCCTCATTTTTCCTTTTATTAAAACACATGAATCATGAGCAAATAGTCTAGGAAACTTTATCCTCTGACACCCACTCATGGAAAAGACCAATGCTGGCAATGAACAGAGCATAGCAAGAAATGCACAGAGGTAGGAAAGGGAAGGGGTATCTGGAGCCTGGTTTTTGAAAAGCCTTTGGGAAGGATTGGCTCCACTGGAGGCTTCTACTTTCCATCTACATCCCTGGCTTGGAGGACCTTGACACCTGTCATTGAGGTACAGAACAACACTGGCCCTGCCAATGAAACCAAACCGCCTTTTGAAACTTTCCACTGGGGCCACCTTGGAGGTAGAGCCAGGGAGCTCAGGTCTCTGCCTAGTAACCTTCACACCTAGAGACTGAGGGTAAGGTTTGATGATGAGGAAAAACAGGAAGTAGAGCAGTGTAGGAAGACATGCTTTGTTTTTTTGAGATGGGGTCTTGCCAGGTTGCTCAGGTGAATCTTAATCTCATAGATTTAAGCAGTCTTCTGGCTTCGGCCTCTCTAGTAGCTTAGACTATAGGTTTCTGCCACCACTCCTAGCTCCCAGCTCCCAGCTCCCAGGTCTAATTTAAAAATTCTGACCATGGGCTGGCACCAAGGTGGCTCAGTGGTAGAGCGCTTGCCTTGCATGCTCGAGGCCCTGGGTTCGATTCCTAGCACCACATAAGCAAAAAGAAAAAAGCCGGAAGTGGCGCTGTGGCTCAAGTGGTAGAGTGCTAACCTTGAGCTGAAGAGCTGAGGGACAGCTCTTCACCCAGGCCCAGAGTTCAGGCCCCACGACCGGACCCAAAAAAAAAAAAAAAAATTCTGACCTTGGGGCTGGGAAGGTGGCTCAGTGGTAGAGCGCTTGCCTTGCATGCTCGAGGCCCTGGGTTCGATTCCTAGCACCACATAAGCAAAAAGAAAAAAGCCGGAAGTGGCGCTGTGGCTCAAGTGGTAGAGTGCTAACCTTGAGCTGAAGAGCTGAGGGACAGCTCTTCACCCAGGCCCAGAGTTCAGGCCCCACGACCGGACCCAAAAAAAAAAAAAAAAAATTCTGACCTTGGGGCTGGGAAGGTGGCTCAGTGGTAGAGCGCTTGCCTTGCATGCCTGAGGCCCTGGGTTCGATTCCTCAGCACCACATAAGCAAAAAGAAAAAAGCTGGAAGTGGCGCTGTGGCTCAAGTGGTAGAGCGCTAGCCTTGAGCTGAATTGCTGAGGGACAGTGCCCAGGCCCAGAGTTCAGGCCCCACGACTGGACCAAAAAAAAAAAAAAAAAATTCTGACTTTGCCAGACACCATGGCTCACACCTGTAATACTAACTATTCAGGAGGCTGAGATCTGAGGATTGTGGTTCAAAGCCAGCCCAGGAAAGTCCATGAGACTTTTTTTTTTAACCAGTCCTGGCGCTTGAACTCAGGGTCTGGGCACTGTCCCAGTGGTAGGCTAGTGCTCTACCACTTAAGCCACAGCAGCACTTCTGGCTTTTTCTGTTTATGTGGTACTCAGGAATTGATACATGCTTCATGCATGCTAGGCAAGCACTCTACCACTAAGCCACATTCCCAGCCTCCATGACTCTTATCTCCAATTAACCATCAGAAAACTGGAAGGGGAGCTGTGGCTCAAAGTGGTTCAAGCTTCATGACCAACAATAACAATTCTGACCTTTCTGGTGACCTGAATTTGGGCTGTTGTTTAATCTTTCTGATAAAAATGGGAGAAACAATACTTACTGGCCTCAAACACTATTTAGCCCTAGACGACCTCAAACTTAAGATCTTCCTGTCTAACCCTTCCCAGTCCCATCAATACCAACTTTATTTAAAGTGTGGGCATGAGAGTAGAGGAAATAGAAAGGCAGATTGCAAGATCTGAGGCTCAGAACAAATGTGGGTGCATCTGCCTATCAATTTACCCTAACTTAAATAGATACAGGGTCTAATCAAGAGGAGGGAAAGAGGGTACTGTACGTTTTCCCTAACTAGCAACTTCAACAGGGAGTTTCCCCTGCCCACCATGGTCATTGTTATCTGGTTTGGCTCCTATCTTCAGCATCTCCAAGGCCACAGTTTTTGTTGTTGTTGTTTGGTCCTAATGGAAAGATGCTGGGAAATGCAGCTTTGGCCAGTTAGGGAGAAGGGGCCTTTATATGTAGCAGCAAAGACCCAATTGTTACCAAAACCAAACTGGGCTGACTTTCTCAATTATCTCCACTGCTCTTCTGGTCTCCACTTTTCAGATGCCAAGTTTTAACTCAGAACAAAAGCTGCTGTCGGGCTGATTTATACTGCAGATCTGCTGACAGGGCCTAATGTGTTCCCCCCTCCAGGATTACCCCATGGCTTAAAGTTACCACGCGAAGCTGGGGCCTTGAGGCCCTTCACCCCTGCCCTTCCAGCCAAGGGGGGTGGCATCTATCTCCAAGTGCCTGTGGGGCATTCTCCCTGAGGTTACTCTGTCCACCTGCCTCGCTCGGTGGACCAGCTGGCAAGGAGGATTGGCCAGAAACCGCCCAGAAGACCAGAGCTACAAGTTACTTCTAAGGCTTGTGGGAGGAGGCTGGCGGTTCTGAAGATGGTGCTGGTTCACAGCGTGGTTCCCCTCAGCCCCTGTCATCAGAACAGAAGGGCTGGAATCACTGGTTAACCAGCCTTCCACTGACACCAGGGGTAGGTTCTGCCTGGAGTTTGAAAACAAGGCTTTAGCTATCAGAGACTCGAGAGTCTTTCTGGTCTGGTAGGCTCCGTTCGGGCTGAGGACAAGGTCCAGTGGGCGGCGTTGGGGCCCAGAAAGGAGACAGAATTTGGGGCCAAACGACAGACCACGCTGGTCCGCCCCCAAGAGGAGCTTTGGTTTCCTCCCCGGTGCCTGCCCCCGGGACGCGCGCCCCGAAGTGGCTGGCCAGCGCCCGTTTCCGTAACTGGAGCGCGCCGGGGGAGTCTCTCTGCCCTATTCCCGAGCCCAGCCCGCCGCAGGTCTTAGGGGACACTTCGGAAAGACCAGGTGAGTGCGACTCCCCCGTGGCGGTGCCCACAGCCCCTCCCCGGCCTCACCTCCCTCCGAGAGCCGTGGCGCAGCCCCCGACTCGAAGGCACCGGGGCGGCCGGGCACCGGGCGGAGCGAGGGTCCCGTTCCCGGCCGCGGAGCTGGCCAGACGGCGGTCGCCGCAGGTCGCTGCCCCCTCCTGGGCGGGCCTGCGCGTCCCGCCCCCGGCCTCGGCTCGACACCCCCCCGCCTGACGTCAGGGGAGGGGGCGGAGAGCGGCGGAGAAAGAGCCGGCGCCCGGCGGAGCTCGGAGCCCGAGCCCAGGGGTGCGGAGCCGAGCCGGGACCGAGGGGCGGTGGCAGAGGGGCAGCGGAGGCGGGCTGGCGAGCGCGGGCGGACAGGCGCGGCGCGGGGGTCGGGGGAGGCTGCGGTCGGAGCCGAAGGCGAGGGCGGCGCCCAGGGATTCGAGCTGCGCGGGGGAAGAGGTGAGTGGGGCCGGGATTGCAAGGGGCCGGAGCCGCGGGGGCCCCCCCGGAGCCGCCGCTTTGTCCGACTGCTCGGGCTTGAGGCTGCCGGGCGCGGAGGAGTCAGTGTCTGCGGGCTCGAGGGGAAGCGGCCGGGGAGACAGCCGCCCGCCGAGGTCCTGCCTGCGACCCCCGGGGGGGGCTTTCGGGAGCGGGCCAGCGGCGTCCGCACCTCCTGGGGCCGGAGGGGCGGGCCCGCCGGGAGCAGGGCCCCGGGGAGCCGGGGACCCTCGTGCTGTCGGGCGCGCGGCCGGGATCCTGCTCGGGCTCCCCGAGCTGCTCTGGTTCCCCCACCCCTGACGGAAAGTTTGGGGCGGGCTTGGACCGAGGCCGATGTTGTGGGATCGGATTTCCCTACCGCGGCCCCCCGCCCGCCGGTTCCGCTGGGGAGGCGGGCTGGCTCGAGAAGCCAGGCCCCCCAGTCCGAACCTGACCGCCCGGTCCCGCGCTGGAGCGCCGCCATCCCTGGCCGGGCTGCTTGAGGTGGGCTAGGGTGCGGGGTGCTCAGCCTGGAGCCCGCCCCCCCCCGCCCCCCTACCCCGCGGCCCGGGGAGGAGCTGGGGGTGGGGGCTCTGCTGCGCGGGAGATTCTCTCAGCACGCCTTGGGGTTCGACCTGAGCCCGGGGCAAGGGGCAGAGGAAGGTAGGGGTGGAGGATGTAGGAGGGGGGGGACTGTCGGGGGCCCACGACGCTCCGGCCCCGCTCCCTTCCCGCGCTGGGGTTGCAGGCCGACAGGGGGCGTCCGCAGGCCGGGCTCCGCCACGCTCCCGGAGCCGCCGCTTTGTTTGCATTCAAATCCCGGGAGCTGGGGGGAGGGGAGAACCGGGACTGAAGGTGACGACCCCGAAATGGGGTCTTGGCGGGGGTCCCTTGTTCCGGGGTAAGCCGATCCCGGGCTTGGGTGAGCCAGTACCCGGCACAGTAGAGCTGGAGCAGTGGAAATCAGTCCTGCTGGCCTGCCGAGGCCGGGGTCCCTGGGGCGCAATCTCGGAGTTGGGAAGGTTCGTCGGACCCTGGGGAACGCCGCGGGCGCCGGCCGCGCGCGTGCGTCCCCCGCCGTCCTGGAGGAACCCCGCCGGGGATCCCGCCCCTTCGCTTCTCCCCGCCCGCCCGCGCCGCGAGGCGATCCCCGCGTAGACCGGAGCTTCGCGGTCCGGTGGCCCCTTAGCCAGAGGTGTAGCGTCTCCTCGGAGGCTGTGCGGGGAACAGGATGAGGCCTGGTCCTGTCCACGCCCATCCCACCCACTTCCTGCCTCCCTCTTGGGCAACAAAGGGGCCTCGGGAAGCTGGGCCCCTTCGGCTCCCGGCCCTACTCCCGCTCCGGCTCTGCTGTGGTGGAACCTGGTTCAGGGCTCTGCGTGGCTATTGTCTGCGCCGAGGGAGGAGACCGGCTGGGCCCAGGCCCTTTACGCGCTCCTCGTCAGGCCCCAGGGGTGGGCTCTGCGAATCCCACCTCGGTGCCGCCCTAGTCCAACCGAGGGGCTGCTTTCCCCGATTTTAGGGCTTGAAGCTCAGCCGAGCCCCAGAATTGCAGCTCCTGTTTCATGGAAGAAACTTAAGTCTTTTGGGCCAGAAGGTGGGAGTGGAGCCCTCCCCCGACCCCCGAAAATTGTTTTTCTACAGTATTTCCTGTTAGTGGGAGTAGGAATAGCCTGGAAACCTGGAGGATTTCTTTTCTTGATGTCTGTCCACGCCTCCTGCTGACTCAGCTCTTCCCTCGGTCCTCCAGGGAGACCTCATTTTCTCTGGAGTAAGGGGCCTGAGGCCAGGTGCAGGGGGGCTAGGTCCCACTTGAATCCAAGGGGTCCTGGGGAGCTCTGATCAGGTGTGTGTTTTATGCTGCTCTCTCTACATTCTAGGTTGTTTTCTTGGACTGTGATGCTAACCATTTCTTTTCCTCTTAGGGCAGCTGGCCTGGAATATAGAGCCTGCCTGTGTGCCATGGCCCCACACTGGGCTGTCTGGCTGCTGGCAGCAGGGCTGTGGGGCCTGGGCATTGGGGCTGAGGTGTGGTGGAACCTTGTGCCCCGGAAGACAGTATCTTCTGGGGGTGAGTGTCCAGGGGAAAGGGTGGGAGGGTAGCAGGAGGGACAATTGGGGAAAAACAAGAGCTTGCAGAAAGTACAGGGATGCAGTTAAAGAATTATCCCCAATTATGAATTGTCTTTATTCCTGTGTGTGTGTGTGTGTGTGTGTGTGTGTGTGTGTCTGTGTCTGTGTCTGTGTCTGTATGTCTTTCTAAGAAATGTGTCAGGCCCCAAGAGACTCAAAACTGATAGTACAGGTCAGGACCTGAGATTTGCCCTCTTCTGATAATTAGGATACCTCTGGGGAGCCTCTTGCTAACCCCCAACCCAGACCTGGCTGATGATATACAGGGAGAAAGATACGGCCCATTCTGTATCATTCTTCTGTGTCTCACTTCTTGAATTATCACTAGTGCTGGAAGCCCAGAGAAAGAAGAACCAGGATAGGTAAAAGCCAAAGCTTCACTCCCACCCCTAGGCTTTCTAGCTTTCTTCCTCTGGAAGCCCCATTATCCACCCTGCTGGACCCCCTGTTGCTGATGCCTTTTGGTGGCCCTGGATGGATGTGTGTATTTGCATGTGTACATATGGAAGGGTCTGGGTCCTGGCAGTGCTCTTTGGGCACACACGCCTGTATGAGAGGTGATGTCAGGTGTTTGTGTCATCTCTGTACTCTGGGGACCTGGGGTGAGCTCACCTCCCACAGGCTGCACCCAGGTGCTAATGAAACTCTCCCATCATTGCCTCCAAAGACTGAGGCTGATTTGATGGGACCTTTTAGACTACTAGACAGGTATTTTTTTGGGGTGTGTGTGTGTGTGTGTATGACAAGGACCACAGGACCATGGATGTTGTACCCTATGTGTATTGCAAGGCTTCCCAGGCCTTAGGCTACAGTGCCATTGCTGGTCCCAGCCAGGCCTCCCAATCCCAACTCCTTTCATTTTCTCTCCCTACCACCCCTGCCTGTCCCAGGGCCATCTGTGCTTGCATCTCCAGCAGTCTGGATTTGGTCCTGCTGGAGTGAAGGGTTTTCTGAGACAAGTAGTGCTTATATCTGTTCCTGTAACTCCTACTCTGCTGAATCAGCTGCCAGGGTCTGGCTGGACCCTGATGTGGGCAGCAGAACAAAGAAGGAAACACCCTCAGAGGAAGATGAGGTGGGAAGTGCCCAGCTCCGAGCTGGAGATGCTGCTGACCCTGAGAGTGAGAGCCATCAGTCTGATGGTTTCCTCTGGCCGGAAGCTGTGGCTGAGAGATCCTTCCTTCCTACTTACCAGCCGGATTTGCCTCCTCCCAGGCTGAGGAAGGCCATAGAGGCCTGGGTGGGGCTGTTAGAGCAAAAGCCTATTCAGAAAATATCCTCAAGTCCAGTCAGGCCTGGCTAGCATCTGCATGTGGAATGTCAGTTTCTTTTTGTGTCAGCACTGGGGCTTGAACTCAGGGTCTGGGTACTGTCCCTGAGCTTTTTTTTTTTTTTTTTTTTGCTTAAAGCTAATGCTCTACCACTTGAGCCACAGCTCCACTTCCAGCTTTCTGGTTGTTAATTGGAGATAGGAGCCTTAAGGACTTTGCTGTCCAAGCTGGCTTCAGACTGTGATCCTCAGATCTCAACCTCCTGTGTAGCTAGGATTACAGGTGTGAGTCACTGGCACCTGGCTGGAATAACCAGAGAGGTTCCTGGAACCTGCCTGCCCATCCACAGCCTACTCACTTCTGCCTTGTACTTGTATCTGTCCATGCAGAGCTGGTCACCATTGTGCGGCGGTTCTCCCAAACGGGCATCCAGGACTTTCTGACGCTGACTCTGACAGAGCGGTCGGGGCTCCTGTACGTGGGGGCCCGGGAGGCCTTGTTTGCCTTCAGCGTGGAGGCTTTGGAGCTGCAAGGAGTGGTGAGAGGTGGGGCAGGGGAGGCACACAGGCAGGATGAGGGCAGGACCCCAAGGCCTGGCTTGCTCAGGCTGTCCCCTCTAGTTGAGATTAGCAGGTTGCTCTCCCACTCCTATGGTACTTTCTGGATTCGGCCATGATGGGATGGTCCTCTACTGAACGAAGCCCTTATACGCTAGGGACAGTCCACTTGGTATTCCTCATGTGGCAGCTGCAAGCTGTTTGATGGCACATGCCCCGCACATAACTGTCATTGCTGATGAACTCCTTTTTGTCCCCAGATCTCCTGGGAGGCCCCTGCTGAAAAGAAGACTGAATGTATCCAGAAAGGGAAAAGCAACCAGGTAGGTGCTCAGGGTACTGTCCGTCATCTGGGCCTCTCAGGGCATGTGCTGGCCTCACTCCCATTCTTGGCACTCGTGGTCCCACGTTTGGTCCTCATATTCTGACTAGAGACTTTTTTCTTCTAGACTGAGTGCTTCAACTTCATCCGCTTCCTCCAGCCATACAATGCCTCCCACCTCTACGTCTGTGGTACCTATGCCTTCCAGCCCAAGTGTGCTTATATCGTGAGTGCCGCTTTTCCTCTTGGGTGTCCACACTTCTTGCCCCATCGCTCTCCAGTCTTTTGTGCCCTTCCTTCTTTGGACCCACAGACTGGTCTCCTAGACACTGAGGGGCCTTGCTTTGTGCCTCTTTCTCATCATTCCTCCCTTACCCCTAGGACATACTCACCTTCACCTTGGGGAATGGAGAGTTTGAGGATGGGAAGGGGAAGTGTCCCTACGACCCAGCTAAGGGCCACACTGGCCTACTTGTGGGTGAGTAGCTATCCCTGATGCAGACAGGGCAGGTTCTCTGGGACTTGGTGGTCCTGTAGGCTCTCGTGGGCCAGTGCTTCTGGTCTTAGCTGACCCCCCGTCTCCCACAGATGGTGAGCTATACTCGGCAACGCTTAACAACTTCTTGGGCACAGAGCCCGTCATCCTGCGTAACATGGGACCTCATCATTCCATGAAGACAGAGTACCTGGCCTTTTGGCTCAATGGTGAGCATTGCAGTGTAGCTGGGTTTACGGAGCATGGGAGACCTCGTGAGGGCTGTGTACTCCGCCACTGACCACTGACCTTCCTGTTTTGCTGCAGAGCCCCACTTTGTAGGTTCTGCTTATGTCCCCGAGAGTGTGGGAAGCTTCACAGGAGATGATGACAAGATCTACTTCTTCTTCAGTGAGCGGGCAGTGGAGTATGACTGCTACGCTGAGCAGGTGGTGGCTCGTGTGGCCCGTGTATGTAAGGTACTGAGTCCTGCAGAAGTGGGCCCTGGGAATCCTGCCTGCTGCTTGGCAGTGGCTGACCAGCCATGTTATCTGCCAGGGTGACATGGGAGGCGCACGGACATTGCAGAAGAAGTGGACCACATTCTTAAAGGCGCGACTGGCATGCTCAGCTCCCAACTGGCAACTCTATTTCAACCAGCTACGGGCGATGCATACCCTGCAGGGTGCCTCCTGGCACAACACTACCTTCTTTGGGGTTTTTCGAGCACGTTGGTGAGTGACCTGGGAATCCCTGGGGTGGGAAGGAGCAGGTATTCAGGTTAGAGGTGACGGATGGGTGTGGGTGTGAGGCCCTGCAGCGAGTCTAAGTAGCTGGTAGCTAGTATCCAAGAGCACTGAACTTGTGCCTCCCTTTGAGTGCCTTGGAGGAGGTGGACAGGGCCCTGCCCCAAAAGGCACTTTAGAACTGTCACTATGTTCTTCTGCCCTTTGCACTGAACTCTGCCTTTTTGCTGCTTGCCTTGGAGGTTGGGGAAAGATGGGGGAAGGTAGGCACCAAACCTAACCCTAGAGATCTCTCCCGCATTGCCACAGGGGGGATGTGGACCTGTCAGCCGTCTGTGAGTATCAGCTGGAAGACATCCAGCGGGTGTTCGAGGGCCCCTACAAGGAGTACCATGAGCAAGCCCAGAAGTGGGGCCGCTACACTGACCCCGTCCCCAGCCCTCGGCCTGGCTCGGTGAGTCCTAGGGAGGGACACATGCGCCTGTGGTCAGCTCCAGTGCCCTTCCACTGGCTGATGGCTCCTCCCTCACCCTGACCCCATGCAGTGCATCAACAACTGGCATCGCCACCATGGCTATACCAGTTCCCTGGAGCTGCCTGACAACACCCTCAACTTCATCAAGAAGCACCCGCTGATGGAGGAACAGGTGGGGCCCCGGTGGGGCCGCCCCCTGCTTGTGAAGAAGGATACCAACTTCACTCACCTGGTGGCTGACCGCGTTACAGGGCTTGATGGAACCACCTATACAGTGCTGTTCATTGGCACAGGTCAGTGTCCAGCTGTGCCCAGGGTAGGGAGACAAGATGCCCCCAGGGCCTTGTTTCCTGTCACTTACATATGCCTCCCACACCCTACGCTTCAGGAGATGGCTGGCTGCTGAAGGCTGTGAGCCTGGGGTCCTGGGTCCATCTGATTGAGGAGCTGCAGGTGTTTGACCAGGAGCCTGTGGAAAGCTTGGTGTTGTCTCAGAGCAAGGTAGTAAAATTAGGCCCTGCACAGTACTGTCCCTAGTGCCATGTGTCTCACGCCCTCTGTATGTCTGCTTTCCTCCTTTACATGTGCTTGGCCAGTGCAGAACACCTTGCTTAGCTCAGGCGAGCTCCAGGAAGTAAGCATGTGCTAACATAAGGGAGTTTGCATGCCCCAGGGCCATTATTTATAGTGGTCCCTAGGGGCTGCATTCCCCAAATCAAGCCTTGGCAACTGCTCTCAGGCTTTCATCAGGTCTCTCCAAGGTGGGCCAGACTCTGCCTGCACCCTCCTCTCCCATAATGCTCCTGTTGGCCAGACCTTCCAGGCTGCACACTGTTTACATTGCCCTGTGATGTTAGCTTCTTTCCACTCCCCAGTGACTGTCTGGGCCAGACCCTCTACTTCCTCGACACTTCCTGAAGCATTGGCATTTGCTCCTAGCCCATGCAAAACTTCTTTCTGGCATATTTGCAGCAGCCTTTTACCAGCTATTGTAACTCAAGATTGTTCGCTAGAACATGAAATAATAACAGAATAACAACAGAAAGAAAGTGTGGGGCTGAATAAACAAAGATTGGCAGGCACCACTCAAACAAGGAAACACCTTCTGCTGTCCTGGTGCTATTGTTCAGGCTGCGTGTGTGTGTGTGTGTGTGTGTGTGTGTGTGTGTGTGTGTGTGTGTGTGTGTGTGAGAGAGAGAGAGAGATTACATCTTGGCCTCACAAGTGTGCTGCCCCTGTCTAATAAGGTCATGTCTGTAAGGTGCTTAAGATTGCTGACTTGTAAGCCAGCCCTCTGAGTTTTTCAAGACTAAGGTTTCCATCTGCAGGTCTTAGTTCTGCTTCCTTCCTTGGGATGCCACTTGTGTTTTTGGTCCCTTGCAGGACTGTCATCTTTCCCTACTGTGCCCTGCCACAGATGTGGCATCCCTGACCCTCCTGTGCCTGAATTTCCTGCAGAAACTGCTTTTTGCGGGCTCTCGCTCACAACTGGTGCAGCTGCCCTTGGCTGACTGTCTGAAGTACCGATCCTGTGTGGACTGTGTCCTGGCACGGGACCCCTTTTGTGCCTGGAATGTCAACACTAGCCGCTGTGTGGCCATAGGCAGCCACTCCGGGTGAGATGGGTTCTTTGAGTGCCAGTTGCAGGTGGGAAGGCCAGAGTGGGTGGAGCTGAGCTGCTGACGTCCCCTGCTTCCTCTACCAGATCCCTGCTGATGCAGCATGTGACAATCTTGGACACCTCAGGCATTTGTAACTTGCACACTAAGAAAGGTAAGCTACCCTTTTATGCCCCTCCAGTTGGGATGGGCCCTAGACCACAGCTGGATTTTCTAAGCCTCTCGTCCTAGTGGTGAGAAGAATGATGAGAAGAGAATTTTTGCCTCTCATCACTCTGGGGTGACTGCACTAACTCTTCTCTCTCATTTCTGCCACTACAGTCAGGCTAACACCCAAAAACATAACAGTGGTAGCAGGCACAGACTTGGTGCTGCCCTGCCGTCTTTCCTCCAACCTGGCCCATGCCCATTGGACCTTTGGGGGCCGAGATCTACCTGTGGAACAGCCTGGCTCCTTCCTCTACGATGCCCAACTCCAGGCCCTCGTGGTGATGGCTGCTCAGCCCCGTCATGCTGGGGCCTACCACTGCTTTTCAGAGGAGCAAGGAGCACGGCTGGCTGCTGAAGGCTACCTTGTGGCTGTTGTGGCAGGCCCGTCTGTGACCCTAGAGGCTCGGGCCCCACTGGAAAACCTAGGGTTAGTATGGCTGGCTGTGGTGGCCTTGGGGGCCTTGTGCCTAGTGCTGTTGCTGCTTGTTCTGTCACTGCGCCGGCGACTGCGGGAAGAGCTGGAAAAAGGTGCCAAGGCAACAGAGAGGACCCTGGTGTATCCCCTGGAGTTGCCCAAGGAACCCACCAGTCCCCCCTTTCGGCCTGGCTCTGAAACCGATGAGAAACTTTGGGATCCTGTTGGATACTACTACTCAGATGGTTCCCTCAAGATTGTGCCTGGACACGCGCGGTGCCAGCCTGGGGGCGGGCCGCCCTCTCCACCGCCTGGCATCCCTGGCCAGCCCCTGCCTTCTCCGACTAGGCTTCATTTGGGGGGTGGGCGGAACTCAAATGCCAATGGTTACGTGCGCTTACAACTAGGAGGGGAGGACCGGGGAGGGCTGGGGAACCCCCTGCCTGAGATTGCTGATGAACTGAGGCGAAAACTGCAGCAGCGCCAGCCACTGCCGGACTCCAACCCCGAGGAGTCCTCAGTATGAGGGGAGCCCCCCACCGCACTGGCGGCGGGGGCACGTAGGAGGTGCAGCTCCTACTTTTGCACAGGCACCAGCTACCTCAGGGACATGGCACGGGCACCTGCTCTGCCTGGGACAGGCACTGCCCAGCACCCGCCTGGCCATGAGGACCTGCTCAGCATGGGCACTGCCACTTCTGGTGGTTTACCAGGGCACCAGCCTCACAGGAGGCTCCTGTTCCTCTGTGAATCTTGGCCACATGGGACCCAGCAGCCAAACTTTTCAAGGCAGAAGTTTTAAAATTGTGTGTGTGTGTGTGTCCGAGTGTGAGTGTATGTGTGTGTGTGTGTGTGTGTGAAGGTGGATGTACGGCATAACCTTCCTGTTTTAAGTCTTCCCTTGGCCTGGGGTCTTCCTGGTGAGTCTTTGGAGCTATGAAGGGGAAGGGGTTGGATCACTTTGCCTCACCCCCCACCTGTCCCCAGCTAGGGGCAGCCATGTACATAGTGGGGGAAGCAGGGTGCTATACCCCTTGGGGGAAGTGCAGGGCTCTGGATGGGCCTGGTCCTGCTCCTAGGGCTGTGAATGTTTTTAGGGTGGGGGGGAGGGAGATGGAGCCTCCTGTGTGTTTGGGGGGAAGGGTGGGTGGGGCCTCCCACTTGGCCCCTGGGTTCAGTGGTATTTTGTACTTGTCCTCTTCCCATACTGGGCTAGGAAAGGTTGTGTGGGGGAGGGGGAGGGAAAAGGTGGGCATGCTGTGGATACTGACATCCTCTCTCAGCCCTAGGAAAAGGGCTCCTAACAGTGTAATTTATTGTGTCCCTACGTATTTATTTGTTGTAAATATTTGAGTATTTTTATATGGACAAATAAAATGGACAAAATGAGACGTTGGACAAAGGTATTTGGACTAAAACCTATCCATACCAAGAGGGAAGGAGTCTTGGGGTTGAGCAATGCTGGACTGAATCGTCCCTTCTCACTGCAGCCAGAGCAGCTGCCCCATGCTTACGCTGCCCCTTTCTGGAGAGGGCAGCCCAGAATTCAGCGTTTTCCCACAGTGATGCCTATGGGGCTGGGAACCAGGGCCACAGCCCCCAAGGGAGCCAACCTTGGACTCTGGCCAGAGGGAGAAGTCAGGGCACTGGGGGAGGAGGAGAGGCCTGTCTTCCCAGAACTGGTGAAGGGGTGGTGCAGAGTCCAAAGGAGGGGACTTCCTAGAAGCAACTCTGGGGTGTGTGGCTGGGTGTTGAGGTTGGGGGTCCCAACTAGCAGAGGAGAGTTCTAGCTTAACCTCCAAGAATGCATGTTGAATGCCTGAACCACCATGTAGGGAATGGGCTTCTTCATATTGCCACTCAGCGAGTTCCAAGCCCCTGGCCCTCCCAGTGGGCGGTACAGGTCTCCCAAGACAACCGGGTTATAGTCTGGATTTCTGAGAGCCCCCAATGGGCGCAGACTTACTTCATCCACGTCTGAGGATGGAGGCGGTGGGTTTGAGGTGCCCCTGTACGTTCAGGCCACTGTCCTGGATTTCCCCAAATGGGTTCAGAAGGCTAGATCTGATTGGATACGAGACAACTAAGCAAGCCAGCGGATGTCAATCCATAAGATGTGAAATACATAGAGACTGACCCGGTAATCTAAACGGCCACTCTGGGGTGGACGGAATTTGATCCTGGCTTGTCCTCGGGGCTTGTCACAGGACAAGATGGCCACTGGTTCCCTACAGGATTTTCAAGTAACCTAGCGGGAGGGGGAAGGGAGTGTCTGAGTGATTTCCCGCGGTCGCTGCACCGCCCGCAGGCGCCTTGAGCCTTGGGAGATGCACGAAGAGGGGGTGAGGGCCCAAAGAGACCCGTTCCCCGGAGTGTCTGGTGGGACAAGGGCAGTGGACGGGAAGAGCGTCGGGAAGGTTGGATGTTGGCCAGCGTGAAGGCTCCTGGCTGAGTTTGGTTTTTGGTCGGCATCTCCTACAGGGATGGGCGGTGCAGCCTTCCATCCCGCACAGTCCCGTCCCAACACGCAGCGCCTCTCCCCTTCGCTTAGCCTCGCGCGCCCTCTCGTGGCGGCATTCAGAGCGCGGCCCGGAGCAGCAGGTCCCACCCCTCAGCGCGATTGGCTCTGGACCTAAAAACTAGATGCTGGATTGGTCAGCTCAGGCGAGGTGGCGGGACTGAAAAGACTATCGTGCACGCCGACTGGCCAGACCAGTGGAACTGACATTGCATCCGTCGGCCTGGCCGCGCGAGGCCTGGGCTTGAGAGTGGAAGCCGGGATGGCGGCACCGCGGCCTTGCGCGGACGGGTCCTGCTGCTCCCACTCTGGTGCGGTGCCCGGCGTGCAGCAGACGCTAGAGGAGATGGACTTCGAGAGGGGTGAGGCGGGCCTGGGAGCTCTCCCCGGGCCTGGCGGTCCTATGGACTGCGGGCCGAGTCTCGCTCTCGGGGCCTGGTGCGGGAGGGCGGCCGGGGCGGAGCCCACAGCCCCGCGTAGCTGGGATCCCGCCAGCGACCCGACGCGGCCTGCGACACCGGACACCGCGCTTCTCGTGCAGGCGAGAAAGCTGAGACATCGGTGTCCAAAAACCTTTCAGATAACCTCAATCTAACACCCCCCCAAAGTGGCGAGGCCGGGCTCGGCCTCTCACCGGGGGGAGACTCACCTGGGAGCCGCCCGCCGGCGCCGGCGAGCGCGGGGCCCGGAAGCCCGCCGCTGCTGGAGGGCGGAGGGCGGGGTCTTCCTGGCTGGCGCGGCGCGGCCTGGGGAGCTGGCGGCTGGCCGCTCGGGCGCGCTTTCTGTCCGGGCAACCATCTCCAGACAGGTGACAGCCTAGCCATTTTGCTCTCCAGGATGGAGGACTGTTTGGGACCGCTGTGCTGCCGTGCTGCAGCGGCTGCACCACACCCTGCAGCTTGTGGGGTCCAAATCACAGTCATCAGGTGATGTGGTCATAACCATTCCAACGCCTCTCCCACTGACCACCTCTGGGCAGTAGTCCACACTAGCAGCCAGAGTAACCTTTTCAAGACAGTAAATAAATCAGACCATTGACTTTTCCATTGCTTAAATTCAAGTTTCCTTTCGTGGCCCACAAAGCTCTATGAGGGCTAATGCCTATCTACTGTTATTTCTCTATCCTTATACAGTTCTCATGTATGATGTTCTTCCATCAATCACTGACTGGTAGCCATACTGGACTTTTGATTTCTCAAATATGCAAGACCTTTTCCTGATTAGGGTCTTTCATTGCTCTTGCTGTCTTGTCTCCTGAGAGTGAACTTCTTGCAAATTGTAAGTTAACTGGTGCCTTGCCTTCTGATCTCAATTCTATTGAGTTGAGACATTCTAGAGATGTCAGTTCCATAAAGGCCTTTGACAATGTCGAGCCATTTTTGTGTGTACTGCATACATCCTACCATGCCCAGAACAGCTCTCCACAAGGAAGAATCTGGCCCAAAATGTCAGTTGTGCCCCTGCTGAAAAAGCAGGTCCTGCCCCTTCTAGGTTACTCTGTTACACCTGGCACTTGGCTCATCAAAGCAGTTTGTACCATCTGACACCGTCTTGTTTATTCATTATCTGTTTTCTACACACTGCAAAGACCCTTACCTGTTTTAGTGAGTTTATTCAAATTCACAACCCTTCCCTTCATTTTCTTCTAGAAATACTGTTAAAGTCTGTTTTCTTTCTCCATGAAGGATGCCTTATTTACTCTTCCTCACATTTGTGACAGTGAGTGCAGAGCAGAGCATTACAGGTTGACAAGCTCCTCAGTCTTCTGGGAATATAATTTCATTATCTGCTTGTATTTGCTACAAGCTAAACTGTTGATAATCTGGTTTTTGGTCTTTTTAATTTTTATTTTTAGTCGGTTATGGGGCTTGAACTCTGGGTCTGAGTGCTGTCTCTCAGCTCTTCAGCTCAAGGCTAGCGCTCTACCACTTGAGCTACAGCACCACTTCTGGTTTTCTGGTGTTCATTGGAAATAAGAGTCTTATGCTAGGGGGAAAACAATGGAGGGGGTAACAATGTTCAAGAGGAAGTGTACTCATAACCTCACTCATGTAACTGTAACCCTCTGTATAGTAGCTTTACAATAAAAAAAAAAAAAAGAGTCTTATGTGCCCAGGCTGGCTTTGAACCTCGATCCTCAGATCTTAGCCTCCTGAGTAGCTAGGATTACAGACATGAGCCTCCGGCACCCAGATGATTTTTGGTCTTTGATGTTTTTGTTTTGAGCCATTCCTCCAGCATAACTTTTAACTTCTGTTTTACTAATCCTCCTGGAGATTTAATATAATTTTTCACTTGGGAACTAATGGTTTTCTTCTGAATAATTATGAGTCTCATGGAAGGCTGGGTTTACACCTGTAATCTTAGTTACTCAGGAGACTGAGACCTAAGGATCATAGTTTGAAGCCAGCTCAGACAGAAAAGTCCCCATGAGACTCTTATCTCCAATTAATCTCCAATTAACCATCGAAAACTGAAATGGCACTGTGGTATAAAGTGGTTGAGTGTTACCTTCAGTGAAAAGAGCTCAGGGACAGTACCTAGGACCTGAGTTCAAGCCCCATGACTGACTAGAAAAAAAGAGTTTTCTGTCTGGGCTGGCTTTAAACCATGATCCTTAGATCTCAACCTTCTGAATAGCTATGATTATATACCTGGCTTGGGTAATTTTTAGATGTTATTTCTAGTTATAGGAAGTATGCTCCCCCCCACCCCACACTCATAACTCCTTTCAATGGTGGTTGTTTTTGTTTTTTTTTTGGTTGGTCGTGGGGCTTGAAGTCTGGGCCTGGACCCTGTTCCTGCGCTCTTCAGCTTAAGGCGAGCAGAGCATTACAGGTTCCTTTCCTCAGCCACTTCTGGCTTTTTCTGCTTATGTGGTGCTGAGGAATTGAACCCAGGGCCTCATGCATGCAAGGCAAGCATTCTACCGCTGAGCCACCTTCCCAACCCCATCTTCTTTTTTGTTGTTGTTGGTTGTGCACCTTAAACTCTGAGCCTGGGCGCTGTCCCTGAGCTCTTCACTTGAGCCACAGCTCCACTTCCGGGTTTCTGGTGGTTAATTGGAGATAAGTGACTCACAGACTTTCTTACCCAGGCTGGCTTTGAACTGCGATCCTCAGATCTCAGCCTCCTGAGTAGCTAGGATTACTGGTAACATGACCCACCAGTACCCGGCCTTTTAATATATTTTAATTCATTCTGTCTTCTGTGTTTATGTCTCTTTAATGCAGTTCTTTTTGTCATTTTGTGTTGCATTTGGGTGAATTCCAAAGCTCTAATTCTCACTTCCGCTGGGCCTGCTGTATGGCTCAGCCCTTCATTGTTTATTTTGCTGATTTTACATTTTAACATACTTCTGTTTCAGATCTCTTTTTTGGGGGGGGCGGGGGGAGGAAATCAGTCGTGGGGCTTGAACTCTGGGCTTGGGCACTATCCCTCAGCTCAAGGCTAGCGCTCTTTCACTTGAGCCACAGCACCACTTCCAATTTTCTGAGTGGTTTATTGGAGATAAGAGACTCACAGACTTTACTGCCCGAGCTGGCTTTGAACTGCAATCCACAGATCTCAGCTTCCTGAGTAGCTAGGATTACAGGCATGAGTGAGCCACTGGTACCCAGTTTCAAATCTCATTTTGTGTTTTGATTTTTTTCCCCTAATGATCTGTTGATTTGTGGATTCTGTCCTTCAGCTTTGTGAGTACATTAGACATCACTGTTTAATGCTTTTATGACTAATTTTGAGCCATCCCTTTTCCTGCTGGTATTTGCTGGATGTTCTCATGTTGGTGGATTTCTTTTTGCTTGGCAGACTCTGGTCTTTGAGCTGCTCATTTGTGGGATGTTCTTACATTGCCTTGGCTAGCTGTAGAAGCATCCTTTTCTAGTATTTGAGATTTGCAGGGTTTTTTAAGACAAGAGTCTCACTATATAGCCCAGGTTGTCCTTGAACTCTGATCCTCCTGCCTCAGTTTCCAAGAGTGCTGAGATCACACAGGTGCACGACCACACCCAGCTTCAAATATTATTACTATTAACTTACAGAGTTTGTCTCAGCTAGCTTTTGTGACTGATCCAGATTATAACTTTGGTAGCTTGGGGTGTTTGCTCCCTGAGGTCCCATTCCTCCAAGTTGCATAAGTCTTTTTTTTTTTTTGGGTCCGTCGTGGGGCCTGAACTCTGGGCCTGGGCGCTGTCCCTCAGCTCTTCAGCTCAAGGCTAGTGCCACTTCCGGGTTTTTCTTTTTTGTTTATGTGGTGCTGAAGAATCGAACCCAGGGTCTCAGGCATGCAAGGCAAGCACTCTACCACTGAGCCACCTTCCCAGCCCGAAGTTGCATAAGTCAAGGGATCTAATTTTTTTAGTTTCTTCATTCTTTACACATCTATCCAAATTATGCCTCTTTCCTTTTTGTTACATGATACCTTACCAGAGAGGCCACCCCTACCCACTGTTTATAACTTCTCTCTCTTTCCTGTCCTTTCCCCCAACTCCCTTCTCAAATTGGACCTTGTGATAGACAAGTGTTCTGCCACTTGTGCTAAGTCCTCAGTCCTTTCCCCCTTTATTATTTATCTTATTTATTTATTTTTGTCAGTTGCGGGGCTTGAACTCTGGGCCTGGGTGCTGTCCTTCAGCTCGTCAGCTCAAGGCTAGTGCTCTTGAGCCACAGCACCACTTCCGATTTCCTGGTGGTTTATTGAGGTAAGAGTTCCACGGACTTTACTGTCCAGTCTGGCTTTGAACCTCAGTCCTCAGATCTCAGCCTCCTGAGTAGTAGGATTACAGGCGTGAGCCACTGGCACCTGGCTATTTTATTTTTTTGGTGGTACTAGGGTTAAAATTCAGGGCCTGTGCTTACTAGGCAGCTATCTACCACTTGAGCCAGTCCCCCAGTACTTTCTGTTTTAGTAATTTTTTTTTTTGGGTCCGGTCGTGGGGCCTGAACTCTGGGCCTGGGCGCTGTCCCTCAGCTCTTCAGCTCAAGGCTAGCGCTCTACCACTTGAGCCACAGCACCACTTCCGGCCTTTTTCTTTTTGCTTATGTGGTACCGAGGAATGGAACCCAGGGCCTCAGGCATGCAAGGCAAGCACTCTACCACGGAGCCACCTTCCCAGCCCCTGTTTTAGTAATTTTTCTAATAGGGTCTAGATTAGCCCTTTTATGCCTGGGGCAGCTTAGACCACTATACTTCCAGTGAAGCATGTGCCACATATCTCAGTGCTTTTTTTTGGTGGTACTGAAGTTTGAACTCAAGGCTTCATGCACGCTAGGCAGATACTCCACTACTTGAGCCATTCCACTAGCCCTTTCTGCTCCATTTTGTTTTTGTTTTTTGGTCGGTCATGGGGACTGAACTCTGGGCCTAGGCGCTGTCCCGCTGCTTTTCAGCTCAAGGCTAGCGCTCTACCACTTGAGCCACAGCACCACTTCCAGCTTTTTCTGCCTATGTGGTGCTGAGGAATGGAACCCAGGGCCTCATGCATGCAAGGCAAACACTCTACTGCTGAGCCACCTTCCCAGCTCCTGTTCTGGTCATTTTTGAGATAGGTTCTCACTTTTTGATCAGGGTCAACTGGACCATAATTTTCCTATTGAGATGGGGTCTCACACACTTTTTGCTGGGCCTTGACTTGAAGTTATCCTCCTGAGCCACCACATTTGTTGTATCTTTGTTTTGCTTGCTTATTTGGGGGAAGTTTATTTGAGGCAAGGAGGTCTCTTGCTTGGGTTGGCCTGGACTAGATGATCCTCCTGCCTTTGCCTCCTGAGTAGCTAGGATAAAAGGAGTGAACCTCCATGCCTGATGTCTGGCTCCTACTTTTTTTTGTTTTCTGTTTTTTCCCTAGTATCAGTGCTTGAACATATAGGTTTATGCTTTGGCTTATCCTTTTCCCTCACAGCTGGTACTTTATCACTTGAGCCATGCCTCCAGCCTAGAAGTTTGCTGGTTAATTGGAGATGGGAGTCTTATAGACCTTTCTGCCTAGGCTGGCTTTGGGCCCTAATCTTCTACATCTCAGTGTCTTGAGTATCTACGATCATAGATGTGAGCCACCAGCATCCAGCCTGCTTACTCACTCCCTTTCTCTCTTGCTTTCTTTCCCTTCTCTCATCTCTCTTCTTCCTTCCCTCTTCCCTTTCTTTCCTTCTTTTCCTCCTCTCTCCCTTTCCCTTTCCTTTGCTTCTGTGTGTCATTAGTAGGGCTTGAACTCAGGGCCTGGGCACTGTCCTCTTGATTTTGCTTTACCATCTGAGCAACAACTCCACTTCCATCTTTTTTTTTTTTTTGGTGCTGGTAGGTCTTGACCTGTGGGCCTAGGAGCGGTCCCTGAGCTTCTTTTTGCTCATAGCACTCTACCACATGAGCCCAGCTCCACTTCCAGATTTATGGTAGTTTATTAGAGAGAAGAGTCTCACAGAGCCGGGTGCTGGTGGCTCATGCCTGTAATCCTAGCTACTCAGGAGACTGAGACCTGAGGATCTGGATTCAAAGCCAGCCGGGACAGGAAAGTCTATGAGGCTCTTATGTTCAATTAACCACCAGAAAACGAAGTGGCACTGTGGCTCAAGTAGTAGACTCACCTTGAGCTGAAGAGCTCAAGGACAGTGCCCAGGCCCAGAGTTCAAGCCCCATGACTGACAAAAAAAAAAAAAAGTCTCACAGAATTTCCTGCCTGGGCTGGCTTTGAACTGGGACCCTTAAATCTCAATTTCTTGAGTAGCTAGGATTATAGGCATGTGCCACTGGCACCCAGCTCACTTCTAGCTTTTTGGTGATTAATTGGAGTTCAATTTGACAGCATTTTCTGCCTGAGCTGACTTTGAACCTCCATCCTCAGATCTCAGCCTCCTGAGTAGCTAGGATTAAGGTGTGAGCCACTGATGTCTAGATTCTGATTTCTCTTTAGCACACTTAGCACTTCACTTGACTTAAAATATATATTATATATATGTATACAATATGTATGAATTATATAGAATATATAGTTTCCATGTATAAACATATAATAACTTATAGATGTGTGCACATAAGATGCTTTCCGTTAGAATTAAAGCTAATTTTGGGGGGGGGGGGATTTTTTTTTCTCAGCTGATCCCTTGTGTCTACAACACTGCAGGGGACAAATACTTGGACCTAGAACTGTTTTGTTTCAGAGTTTGGAATATTTGCATGTACATACTAGGCTATCTTGGGATGGGACTTAAGTACAAGCAGGAAATTGACCTATGTTTCATATACACTTCATGCATTTTATACACTATTCCTGTGTTCTCACTGCAACCTACCACATCAAATCAGTTGTGGAATTTTCCACTTGCTGAGAGTATTTCAGATTTTGGATTTTTGGATTAGGGTTGCTAAATCCTGTATTCAGCAGGTCCTTGTTGAGTGTATTGCCTGAGCATGGCAGCTTGCCTCCTGCTCTCCGCAGAGGGAGAGTGAAGACCTCCAGTCTCAGTGGTCCCTGCTTGGGCTCGACTACCTCCCTGTGTCATACACAGAGCCCTGCTCTGGCTCCCTGCCACACATGCTTGCACCTGTCACTCCCCGTCCTGCTGAGGCAGTGATAGAAAGCCCCTTGAGGTGGGCAGTGGCTGTCCAGTTCCAAGTACCTTGGGGTCCTGTAGAGTTACTTTTCATTGTTTTGTCTGTGGTTTTAACTTTGTTCCTAGAATCTCATTAAAAAAAAGTAGGTGTGTGTGTGTGTAGAATCTCATTAAAAAAAGTAGGTGTGTGTGTGTGTGTGTGTGTGTGTGTGTGTGTGTGTGTGTGTGTGTGTGTGTGTAGAGTTACTTTTCATTGTTTTGTCTGTGGTTTTAACTTTGTTCCTAGAATCTCATTAAAAAAAAGTAGGTGTGTGTGTGTGTAGAATCTCATTAAAAAAAGTAGGGTGTGTGTGTGTGTGTGTGTGTGTGTGTGTGTGTGTGTGTGTGTGTGTGTGTGTGTGTGTGTGTGTGTGTGTGTGTGTGTGTGTGTGTGTGTGTGTGTGTGTGTGTGTGTGTGTGTGTGTGTGTGTGTGTGTGTGTGTGTGTGTTGGGGACTAGGCCCTGCCTCTGAGCTGTTTTGCTCAAGGCTAGTGCTCCACCACTTAAGCCATCGCTTCACTTCAGCTTTCTTTTTTTTTTTTTTAAGAATCTCACAGACTTTTCTGCTGAGGCTAGCTTCAAACCCCAGTCCTCAGAACTCAGTCTTCTGAGAAGCTAGCATTATAGGCATGAGCCACTTGTACCCAGGAATTTTCTTATTTGAGAATTTGACTTTATATTTGAACATCTTCACCATTCTTTATCCAACCTCTCTGTATTTGAAAGATTTTGTTTTGTTTGTTTTTGAAATAGGCTGAGGCAGGAAGATGTTGAGTTCAAGGTCAGCTAGGATACATGGCAAGATGCTCTTTCTGTCCAGTCCTACTGTCCTGAGTAGACAAACCCTGTCTGTCATGTTCACAGCTATGTCACCAACACCTAGAGCAATCCTTGCACAGAGGAAGCACTTGGTTTATATTTGCTGTATAAAAAAATATTTTCCAGTTTACAGATGGGACATTCTGGTCAAAAGGCTCTGGTTGTGTTGCACTGCTCAGTACTTTGGTTGGCTTTCTGCAGGAATCTGGTCAGCAGCACTGAATGGAGACCTGGGCCGAGTGAAGTATTTTATCCAGAAGGCCACGGACCCTAGCCAGCCTGACTCAGCTGGCTATACTGCTCTGGTGAGCTGGGAGGAGCAGAGTGGGAAAACAAGGAAGCTCTTTTTCTTTTTCTCTTTTGAGAGAGGATCTTACACTATATAATCCAAGTTGGCTGGGACTCTGGATCCTCCTCTTTTCTCAGCCTCCCAAATGCTAGGATTATAAGTATACTCCATCACACCTATTGAGAGAAGCTTTAGTTTGGGGGTGCTGCCTGTTCTCTGAGGAGGGAATTGGTGTTTGGCCTGAATCTTCTCTCTCTCAGCAGTTACTCTTTTAAGCATCAAATAAATCTAGGTGTATTAATTAGTGTACAGCCAAAGCCTGTAATCCTAGCTACTCAGGAGGCTGCAATCTGAAGATCTCAGTTCAAAGCCAACCCAGGCAAACAAATCCAAGAGATTATTATCTTCAAGTAAAAACAACAACAAAAAAGAACAACAACAAAAAAAGCCAAAAGTGGAGGTGTGACTCAAGTGGTAGAGTTCCAGATTTGAATAGAAAAGCCAATAGATTGCAAGTCCCTAAATTCAAACCCCAGTACCACTACACACACATAGAGTTCATACCCATTATGCAACTTATTTTCCTAACAATCCTGAGAGTTAGGAATACTTATTATTCAACTCCTCCAACTGCTGAAACTGATGGTAGGAGTAAAGAGGCTTGCCCAGTCAGTCAGCTGCTACAGGTGGTCCCTAGATGACTCAGACCCCTCCACCGACAATCACCAGCTCTTGCCACCCTGTCATCTGCCTGCCTGCTGTCTGACCTCAGTCTTTGCTCCTGCAGCACTATGCCAGCCGCAATGGGCACTATGCCGTCTGCCAGTTCCTGCTGGAAAGTGGAGCAAAGTGTGATGCCCAGACCCATGGGGGAGCCACTGCTCTGCACCGGGCCAGCTACTGTGGTCACACCGAGATTGCACGCCTGCTGCTCTCACATGGATCTGACCCCCAGCTGGTAGATGATGACGGCATGACCAGTCTACACAAAGTATGGCCCTGTTCCCCTTCAAAACTTTCCTTTTCTTGTTCAAAAAGTTAGAACTTGTGCATTGTGAGAAACAGAAAACAAAAAGCAGAGAGAAAAAAATAGAAATCACCTGTTCGTCTCAGCATTCACGTTTATTAATGTACACATACCTACAGTTAATGCAGATAGATAGTGGCCTTTTAGTTCTTTTTCCTTTTTAGGCAGACTGTTTTATCTCTCCTCCAGCTCCCTTGCAAGGCTGTAGCCAGGGTAATCCTTCATTGAAATCTTTCTCCTAGTCCCTCAGTCTTCTTGGCCTCTCCTTTGAGGTATTCTCTCTCCCTCTCTTCCTCCTTCCCTCCCTCCTTTCTTTGCTTCCTTCCCCTTCCTAACTCTTCCCTCCTTCCTCCTTCCCTCCTCCTCCCTTTTTTCCTTTCTTCCTTCCTTCCCTCCTCCCTTCATTCTCCCCCACTTTTTTTCTTTCTTTCACCAGTACTGGGGTTTGGACTTGGAGCCTGGGTGTTGTCCCTGCACTTTTTCGCTCAAGACTGGAACTCTTTTTTTTTTTTTTTCCTTTTTTTTTTTTTTTGTTGGTCATGGAGCTTGAACTCTGGGCCTGGGCACCATCCCTGAGCTCTTCAGCTCAAGGCTAGCACTCCACCACTTGAGCCACAGCACCTACTTCCAGCTTTGTCTGTGTATGTGGTGCTGAGGAATTGAGCCCAGGGCCTCATGCATTCGAGGCAAGCACTCTACCACCAAGCCACCTTCCCAGCCCTCAAGGCTGGAACTCTTATCACTTGAACCACAGTTCCTCTAGATTTTTTTGGTGATTAACTGGAGATGAGAGTCTCTTGGACTTTCCTGCCCAGGCTGGTTTTGAACTGTGATCCTTAGATCTCAACCTCCTAGGTAGCTAGGATTGTAGTTGTGAGCCACAGGCACCTGGCTTTTTTGTACTTGTTTTTAGTATGAAGACCTGACCAAAGACAAGAATGGCTGCTGGGCAAAGGTCACTAGAAAGAAAAAGTAGGGTTAAATGCTCAGATGACAGAGATAGTCTAGTCTGTGTATAAGTAATTGGGATTTGATAGGAATTAGAGATCTGCTCAAAACCTAGGGTTTCCATTCAACAGATTTCTGTTTTATGAGCAAGAAGATCCTGAACGTGGAACAAAAATGAGCAGGGGCCAGTAGAGGTATGCCTTCTGATTTGGGCTTCTCTCTCTTTCCACAGGCTGCAGAGAAGGGTCACGTGGACATTTGCTCTCTACTGTTGCAACATAGCCCGACCCTGAAGGCCGTCCGAGACCGGAAAGCACGGCTAGCATGTGACCTGCTGCCCTGTGACAGTGACTTATGGGACCTGCTGGCCAGCTGAGGCACCACTTTCCCCCTTCAGCTGCCCTTGAAGGGTACACAGACTAGCGCTTCACATCCCTGTATTGCCCAGCACCCACACTGCAGGGTGGGAAACATAGGAAGAACCTCGTGGTAACCAGGGAGGAGGTTCGGTGAGGCTGAAAGCTTTTAAGTTTAGACACATGATCATCTTCGAAGTTAATTCACGTAGCAACATCTATCCAGTTAGGAAAAAAAAAATAAAGTTATATTCTGACTTCATCCCCCACTCAAAGGTAAAATTCAAGATAAGAGGCTGAGTTATGAAAATTCCAAACTGCAAGTACTGAAAGAAAAAGGAAATAATGTGGCAGTAGCTTCTCTGTAGCAGTGAGCTTGGTGCACGACACTAGGTATCTGTACCTCAGCTTCCTCATCTGGTGGCACTGATTGAAGCCACCTCAGGGTCGCTCTGGGGAAAGGCGCTTAAGAGAGTGCTTGGCACGTTGCAGGCACTGTACAGGAGTGCTTTCTCAGGAGTTTCCTAGAGAGATTCTTCCATTGTTACAAAGCTGTCTATATTCAGAAACATTCACAAAGATGCACATTGGGGGCTGGGAGTGTAAATCAGTGGTAGAGCACTCATCTAGTTTGCACAGGGCCTCAGCACCAGATATGTACTGAAGCATGGGAGTATATTTGAAAGAAAAGAGGTTGAGAGAACTGACCTGTTTTCTGGTAGGGAAGGGTCAAGTCTGCAAACATTACTGGAGTATACCACAGACTCTCATGGGAAGAATAGCAAGTGTCCCCTCCACATCATGATTCCTCTTCAAATTGTGGTGATGTATGAACACAAAATATACAGAGGAAGAATTAGGACATGGATTAAACTGCTATCTGTAGCAAGAATAATCAAGAGCTCTTGAACATTATCTTTTCACACCCCCTCCCCCCAAATTTGAACTCAGGGCCTTGTACTTCAATTTGTCTGCTCAGTTTGGCTTTAAACCTCAATAGTCTTAATGGCATCCTCCTGAGTAGCTAGGATTACAGGTGTGAGCCACTAGCAGCTGATGTGGTTTTTTTTTCTTTTTCTGTTTTTTTAGAGGGCGTTGTTATAGAATTTGAACTCAGGGTCTTATGGTCTCATGTAGTGGTCTTGCTTATGGTTGGTTCTCCACCTCTTGATTCATCCTTCCAGCCCTTGCTTTTTGTTGGTTATTTTAGAAATGGGTTCTAGCAAGCTTTTCTGACTGGCTGGCTATGAACCAGAGTCCTCTAGATCCCGGCCTTCTGAGTAATTCAGATTATAGGCATGTGCCACTATTGCCAAGCAGAACTGTAGTTAAAAAGTCAAAGTCTCCCTAAGTTTTCTCAACATTCTAGAGCACTTCCACATGGCCAGCTTCTGTCAGAGGGACATCTGGCAGCCCGTGGGGCCGCTAGTTCTCCAGCCACAGTTCCCCTCCCTCGTTTGATCATCTCTGTTCATGTTGCCAACTCTGGAGTCTTGTTTACTGGCTATCTAATTTCCTTTCAAAGGTCAAGTTAGTGTTCAAGGCCCAAGCTGGGTGAAGGTTTGTATGGCTTCAGAAGAATGAGCTAATTTGACTTGAGTGGTTGAAGACAGATTGCTGTGCAGCTAGGTATGGTGGTCACTGCACATGGGATGGAGTGGCTCTGAGTCTTCCTTCCCCATATGACACCCTCCATGCCCAGGGAATGGCTGTAGGGACCTGCACAGGGACATGGAAGGCTTCTCCTGTAGAGACAGGCCAGGCTTGCTCCTGATGGTGGGGTAAATCACTGTGGTGATGGAATCCTGTTGTAGTAGGTGGTCTTCTACCCCTCCCAAGGTTCTCTGTGGAATTCTAGCCTCCTTTTGCTGGGGTGTCTGAGCTGGGCCATCCCAGTGTCTCAGCCTGCTAGACCCACAACATGGAGGCTGGCCTATTCACGGGTGGGCTCTAAATTCAGGAGACTGGGAAATGTTTACCCCGGGATGTGCTTACTAAATTCCTCACCAGTAGATGTAGAATGTGGCCAGGGGCAGGGTAGTGGGTGTCTGGCTCAGGAGCTGACTCAGCTATAGATAGCTCCTTTTCCTGCCCTCTGTGGGCCACATTCCCAGACTGGTATTTTGGTTAGTGTGACAGGGCCCCAGAGTCATCTAACCCTGGCACATGCCTCTGTCCTGCCCACCTCTAAGAGACAGCTCTCCTATAAAAGGGCTGAGCAGCTCTGTGCTCTCACTGGGGGTGTGGAGAGTAGGGGGGGACCATGGACTTCATCAGCATTCAGCAGTTGGTGAGGCTGTGGGGCTGCGGGGCCAAGGGTGGGCATATCTATACCATTGCAGCAGAGTGGCTAAGTGCCGCCAAGAGCAGGCAGCTGGTCTCTGGGCAAGTCAGGCTGAAGGAGAAGGCTGCATGTAGCTCTTTCCTGGTCTCATGTAAGGTGGTGCGAGGGGCAGGGAGCAAGAGAGGGAAGACATGGGAAAGGAGTTGGCTGATGGTACACGTGAAAAGTCCTTGAGTTAAAGTGAGCTCTTTTTTGGGGGGGAAGCGGGGAGGGCAGGGCGGGAAGTAGCACTAGGATCCGTCACAGGGCCATCACTTGTGAGATGTTTTTCTAAGCCACATCCCCACCTTAAGTTTCCTGTTGTGTCTTAGTTTGTGACAGTAGATATGGGACATGGAAATTTATTTGGAAGATGCAGGTGTAGCTGGGCTTTTCTTTAAAGCCTTGTGCTAGTACTTGCTCTGGGGCTGCTTTGGGACAGGCTTGTGTGTTCTTGGGTTACCTAGGCAGTGACAAACAGTGATGCCAGTAACATTTTGGGATATCAATTTCAGAAAGCTAAGATATAGAGGATGCCTGGATACCTGCTATGGGTTAGGGCCCCAGCCTGTATCACTCCTGGCTGGGGCCATATTAGGTTGCCAGAAGGCATAGACTATGGACCTTCCTTAGTGCTACCAATGGTGGTGTTGGTTTGTTTTGTTGGTCATGGGGCTTGAACTTGGCCTGTCCCTGAGCTCTTTCACTTACGGCTAGTGCTCTACCACTTTGAGCCACAGTGCCACTTCTGTTCTCTGGCAGTTCACTGGAGGTTAAGAGTCTCATGGACTTTCCTGCCTGGGCTGGCTTTGAACTGTGATTCTCATATCTCAGCCTCCTGAGTAGCTAGGCTTACAGGTGGGAATCACTGGTACTTTTTTTTTTTTTTTTGCCAGCACAAGGACTTGAACTAAGGGCCTTGAGTTCACAGTTGTTACTCAACCAGTTGAGCTCTACTTCTAGTTCTGGCTTCCTCCCTCCACGCCCCCCCCCCCAACCAGTTTACTGGGGGCCAGAGTCTCATGGACTTTTCTGCCCAGGCTGACTTCAAACCTAAATTCCAAGACTACAGGAAAGAGCCACTGGGTGCTGGAAGTTTGAGCCCATTTTAAAGATGTAGAAACAACTTTGCCAAGAATTGAACCAGGGATTTACCCATAGCACCTTCTTTACCCCTGAGCTTCAGGTTGGGTGGCGGTGTGATGTGATCTAATAGGAATTTAGGGTAGCAGCCCAGGAGGGAGGCTAAGGTGTCATCTGCTCAAAGGCTACTGGCCTGGCAGCAGTATAAATATCTTCTCACATGCCTCAACCCTGTGATCTTGCTGACAGGAGCAAAGTAGGCGGCAGCATTTGGCCCCCTGGGCCTTGGCCATTGCCAGAGTTGCCACAATTGGTAAGAACCACAGATGTCAGGGGAGGCAGGGACTTGCCAAGAAGCTTTCAAAAGGGTGGATCAGGCTGGCACTCGGGTCCAAAGCAGTGATCTGTGTACATCAGCTGGCCAGCCATCTTCTGGCACTGCAGGATTGTTTTCCAGGGGTTCTTCCAATCTCATTGATTCTTTCATCTATACCCTATCCTATAGGTAAGTGGAGAAAGAGTTGAAAGGAAAGTGTTGGGGTTTGGACATGAAGCTCCTGATCCTGGAGGCTGGCCTAGTGACTGGAGGCTGGGACGCCAAGAGTCCATGGCCCAGGAGAAGTTGAAATTGGAAGAAGAGAAGAAGAAGAAAGTGAGTGATGCTGGGGAACTAAGATGTGGGCAGCTCTGAATGTTAGGGCCTCAGAATCATGGCCCAGCCTCAGGCAACCTGAACAGCTGGGCATCTTCTCTGAGCAGGGCCCTTTGCTTGACTTGTGCGTTCTTTCCATCCCAGCTGGAAAGATTTAACAGCTCCAGACTAAATCTGGAGAACCTGAGAGACTTGGAAAACTTGGCTCAAAGACGAAGAGAAAAACGACTGAGACGCAGAGTCCCCCCCAGGAAACCTGAGCCCATGGTTGAGGTGAGTGAGAAGGTAGGGCGACTCAAGTACCCGGGCTGGAATTGTAGAGGTACAGCCTCCTATCCTGCGGGGTTGAGAAGGGTAGGTGTTGTGGCTACAACTGAACCCCTAGTGCCCAGGAAGCCATATGGAACCCATCTGAGTCCTCATGTATTTGGTAGGGCAGCTGTTATGAAGTGCCCTGGGGATCTTAAGCCACAGAACTGGATTTCTGAAGTTCTGGGGCTTTTGAAGTTCAGCTATTGGCAGAGCTGGTTCCTTCTGACAGCTGAGGGAGGGGCCATTCTCACCTTCCTCCCTAGCTAGCAGCAATCTCTATTGTTCCCAAGCTTCAAACTGCAATCCTCAGATCTCAGCCTTCTGAATAGCTAGGATTATAGGTATGAGCCATCAGCTCCTGCTGCCTTGTTCACATGATGCTTTCCCTGGTCCCTGCTTAAGTCTTTCACACTGGATTAGAGCTTCTCTTAACACAAGTTACATTGAAAGGGTTGCATACTCCAGTAATGACCTCATCCTAACTAATTATATCTTCAAGGCCCCAATTTCTAAACAGTCACATTCTGAGGTACTTGGGGCTATGACTTCAACATGAATAGGAGAGGGAGACATAAGTCAGCACATCTCTCTCATATAACTCCTATTTGTACTCGAGAATGAAAGAACAATACTGCACAGACCAACAGTACAGCAGAGTGTACTGGGATATACTGCTGACGTTATAGTGTCCAGTCTTGGGAGGAATGACTGTCTTTCTGCTTGCACAGCCACAGCCACAGGCCCAGCAGGAGCCTGTGGACCTGGAGATGTTCCTGAAGGCAGCTGCTGAAAATCAGGAAGCCCTGATTGACAAGTACCTGACAGATGGAGGGGACCCTAACGCTCATGACAAGGTAGTATTGGGTGAATGGGCTTATATAGCATCTGTAGCGGTGCACACTTAGTCCTGGCCTGGGACACATCAGGGCTTTTCTTTTGCATGGCTTGAATATGGTGGTATATCTGAACTGGCAGGGAGAGGCTCTTTGCCATATGAACAGGCAACTCTGGGAACAAGAAGGGTATAAACTTGAGACTGACTGTGCTGTCTCTTGTCTCTGCCCACAGCTCCACCGCACAGCCTTGCACTGGGCCTGTCTGAAGGGTCACATCCAACTGGTGAACAAGCTGCTGGCAGCTGGTGCCACTGTGGATGCTCGGGACTTGGTGAGAAGCTAGGCAAGGCCACTCTTGGTGGCTAATGTACTAGCTACTCTTCAGTCAATATGCCCAGCAGCCATAGGTCAGAGGGCTTTGTTGCTTTTTGTTGCAGCTTGACAGGACACCTGTATTCTGGGCCTGCCGTGGAGGACACCTGGACATTCTCAAACAGCTGCTTAACCAGGGAGCCCAGGTTAATGCACAGGACAAGGTGAGGAGACAAGGTGCCCGCTTCGGGTGGCCTGTTAGAAACACGTGAGCAGAGCATGGGGTGAGCAGATGCTAGGCCTGCAGAAGAAAAGGTATAATCCTCAGTGATTGGAAGGCAGAGGCAACACTGACTACTGCTTCCTCCTAGATCTGGAGTACCCCCCTTCACGTGGCAGTACGCACCGGCCACTCTGACTGCCTGGAGCACCTCATTGAGTGTGGAGCCCACCTCAACGCACAGGATAAGGTACTCTGCTCAGGGACAGGCCTGCCACCCTGACTTTCCTGCTGATGGCAGGAGTGTGACCTCCTCTCTTTCAACAGGAGGGGGATACAGCTCTCCACGAGGCTGTGCGGCATGGCCACTACAAAGCCATGAAGCTGCTGCTGCTCTATGGAGCCAAGCTGGGTGTGCAGAACATGGTGAGTGCAAGCTGGGCAAGGTGGTCAGGGGAGCATTTGAAGAAAGGGAGCACTGACCTGCTATCCTTATTTCCAGGCTGCCCTGACTCCAGTGCAGCTGTCACGAGACTGGCAGCGGGGCATCCGGGAAGCACTGCAGGCCCATGTTGGGCATCCCCGCACCCGGTGCTGATGACTCAGACCTGTGGGATTCTCACAGCCACCATTCCAATCCCTCACTTGCAACTGCATTTCTGGGTCTCTTGACCCTCAGTCCAGACTCCTCAGGGCTTTGCTCCCTCAGGCCTGAGGCCTCAGTGGGAACTAAGCACACTGGGCACAGCAGGTAGAAAAAGCAGGCCTCACCGGCTTCAGTGCTAGGTGGGGCTGCATTCCCTGCTAAAGCTAGGACGGAGGACTAGAGGGCAAGGCAGCAGAAAGCAAAGTGGGTCCCAAGGAGGGTCAGGGGATCGAGTGAGAGCCAAAGCCAGAGCAGAAAGTGAGCAGGCCGGTACTACCCAAGGCTGGGTGCTAGACTTCCTTGGTGTCTGCTACCCCTCAGAAGACTAGCCCTGGCCTTCCACAAAAGCCAGTCTTCTGTGGGTGGTGATTCAGGTGTGACCGACAATTATATCCAGGACCTGATGGGAGCCAAAGTGGAAGCAGGCCATGAAGGTGCCAGGCATTATGCAGCTGGCCACTGCCCTTAGGAGAGGTTTACCCTGGGAACTCCATTCCTATCAACAGCAACCCTGATAGGTCTGGAGTAGCTCTAGCCATCTCTGGTCTTCAGGACTCTGAAGGGGGTGCTGGCAGGCTGTGAGGGCACATCAGCAGGTTTGAGGCCCCACAGAGAAGTCAGTACTTACTGGGTTGCCTCAGAAGCCTGAGCTAGAGCTTATTTAGGAGAGACCTGTGCTCACTCTGTAAGGGTTGGTAAGGCCAGCCTGCCACACTTTTATTGGCTGGCTGGCGCCTCTCCTTTGAGGGGTTTGAGTGCCTGGGTGCTAGGGACTGCTTGTGGCCCACTCAACTCTTGAGGCGGTGGCCCGCAACCCTATTTTGCTCAAGGCTTCAGTGTCCTCTACTACTGGAGATGTTTTGGCCTGGCCCCTGTATGCCACTCTGCACACTGAGCAACTCGGGACTTGGCCTATGGGGGTCACAGGGAAAGTGAGTAGTACGCCGCTCCCCTCCCTCATCTGCTAACTGGTGGTGTACCAGCTCCCTTCTGGCTCCTCTCCCCTTGCTCTTTCACTGGCAGAGACCTGTACTGCTGGCGGAGCCGGCTCCTTAAATGCCAGAAAGCTGATCTGAAAGAGCTCTACTCCCAACTGACCACAGGCTGACAGGATTAAAAAGATGAAGGCTTTGTTTCCCTCACACGATCCTGGGTTACCTAGGTACCTGGGTTGGCATCTAATTTACAGCAGTTAATTTTTAATCTAACTTTGACAGCCTTCTCAGGCTAAGAACAAGGTTACCTTTACTATGTGAAAAAGAAGCGACTAGTGCTCCATACCCAGGGGCCACACACACCTTCCACAGGCAGTGACCTGTGGTGACACAGCCAGTGTGCACCCAGACTCTGGTGCCATAGGCAAAACAGGCATTCAGGACTAAGGGCCTTACCTAGAAAATGAGGATATTTATGTATCAGACAAAAACACTTTTTTTATGTGGAGAGGTACTTTTTTCTCATTAAACTGATTATTCCTCACAGCCTAGTTGTCTTTCTTTGGCGGGGCTAAGCCAGTACAGTACATTGGACACCAAGGACTGCCTGCCAGGGCCAAAGGCCTTGATATACTTGAGCTTTGCAAAGGTGCAAAGCAATTCAGTGAGTGGAAAGATGGCTTTTGAACAAATGGAGCTAAAATAATTGGACAACTGTAGGCTTGAAAAAAATAGCACAGTATGGTGGCTCATACCTGTAATCCCAGCTACTCAGGAGATGAAAATCAAAAGGAGTACAGTTCAAGGCCAGACGAGGCAAAAAGTCCACATGACCCCATCTCAACTGAGATAAAAAGCTTGCTGAGAATAAACCAGCATGGTAGTGGGTGCCCATTTTCCCAGCCATATAGCAAGTGTAAGACTGGTCTAGACCACAGCAAAGGGGGTAGGCATAAGGCTCAAATGGTAGGACATGCCTAGCAAGCATAATTCCTTGAGTTCAAACCCAAGTACTGCTCTACTTCAAAGGCCAGGTATAGTGGTACACACCTGTAATGACAGCACAGAGAAGCTGAGGCAGGAGGCAAGCCCAAGTCACAGAGTAAGGCCCAGGCATGTAGTTTAAAAAAAAAAAAAGGTACTGAGTCACACATTTTACAAAATAGACCAAAATTTAAATGTAAAAAAAAATGAAGGGGGGGAAAAAGACCAATTTTGGGATCAAGGACTTAGATTTCTACAGAAAAATTAGTGGACTTCATCCCAGAGAAAACTAATATTTACACTGAAACCTGTACATAAATGTTCATAGCAGCTTTATTTGGAATAGCCCAAAACTGAAAATCCAGATATCCTTTGACGGTCAACAAGTATACCATGGAATAGCACTTGGCAATAAAAGGATGAACCACTGTCACACAAAAGGACCTGGATGAACCTCCAGAGAATTACGTTAATTGAAAAAAGTAATCCCATATAGTTACATACTAATTTATCCCATTTATACAACATTCTTGAAATGACAAAAAAAAAAAAAAAAGATGAAAATAGTGGTTGCCAAGGACTGGGGCAAAGGGCATATTGGCTCTAACAGGGCAGTTTGTGGGGATCCTGATGGTGATAGGACAGGGCTGTATTGGACTAGGGCAGGAATTCTATAGATCTGCAAATGCCAAATGATGTAGACTTCTATGGCCATATTGCACCACTGTCAAAAATCCAGGTTTTGATACTGTATTATAATTCTATAAGATATAACCAGGGCTGGGAAGGTGGTTCAGTGGTAGAGTGCTTGCCTTATATGCATGAGGCCCTGGGTTCGATTCCTCAGCACCACGTAAGCAGAAAAAGCCAGAAGTTGCACTGTGGCTCAAGTGGTAGAATGCTAGTCTTGAGCTGAAGAGCTGAGGGACTGCACCCAGGCCCAGAGTTCAGGCCCCACAACCGGCAAAAAAAAAAAAAAGATATAACCATTGAGGAAAACTAGGTTAAAGGTGCATGGGACCTCCATCTTTGTAACTTCTTATTAAATCTATAATGATTTCAAAACAAAGGGGAAAATGAAAACATTAGCTCTAAGTGCAACTTGGTATCCTACACTACATCTTGCAACAGAAAAAGGACATTACTGGAAAAAAATGGTAAAATCCAAATAAAGTCCATAAAGAATATTGCACCAATGTTATTTTAGTTTTGAAAAAGTACCAATGTTATGTGAAATGCTGCAACTAGAGGAAACTGGGAATGTGGTGTACAGAATGTTTCTGTGAGCCTAAAACTATTTCAAAACTAAAACCCTGGTGCTCTGAATGATTAAACCAGAAGCCCCGGGAGTGGACCTAGGTATGAGCATTTTAAATTTGCCAGGTGAGTCTGAGGTTACAGCCGAGGTTCAGAACTTGTGTTCTGGAAATGCGTTTAAAGTATTTCCTACCTGAATTTGTTCTTAAGAGCATATTCCCTGAAAACAACTCCTCGGAGAGCACACAACTGCAATTTTGGCCTTCAGCCCCATTTACAAGAGCCCAAATCCTTCAAGGAAAGTTCCAGAATTCCTCAATTCCTTCCCAATCTATGGTCCCATGTCTCTGTGATGCCCCAGGTTACACATAGCTGAATAGGGGATGGAAAATTTAGGTAAACTACAAAAAAAGACAAATGGCTTTCTTGTTCCACTTCTCCAATACCACATTGCTAAGGAACGTACAAAGAATTTGAAATGTTTCAGATATAAGAAAACCTTAAATTCCTTTTTTTAAAAGAAAGGTGACAAGGTTGCACATGGTTCATAAACCATCCTTCCCTCCCTTGCTGCTCTCCATGCCAGTTACAGCACACCACCCTGGAGGCCTATGAGAAAGGTAGGTACAGCAGGTGGTCACTATCCCTGGGGTTAGACAACATTAGGTCCAGCAGAAAGACCCCTGCCTCCCATATGTGACCTCTCAAAACTCAGAAATGGGCAATACTGTTAAGTGGCAACTACGCACAGTAGGTGGGAATGACAGCCCCACGGGCTATGCCGGCTAAGCCTCAGCACCACTGAGGGCCAGCTTGTTGCTTGTGACTCCAGAAGGGGTCAGAAAAGCCACCTCCATGGGAGGGAGCAGGAGGCACAGGCTTGTGGGAAAGCATGCTTTCTACATTTGGCACATGAGAGGCTAGAGCACATGAATGAAAGCATGGCATTATAAGGGGAGCCAGAAAGTACACCAGGGACAAGGGACAAAGCCATGGATTTGAACCCTCAGTCAGACCTAGTACCCTCAGTTTGCTGAGAAAGTGCTGCCAGCAGCAGAGGGTTTGGCCAGTTAAAAGCAAAGTGACCATAGGGCAGGGCAACATAAAGGCAGGAATTGTGCACCCACATGGCACCTGGCTCTGAGAGGTATAAATACACTGCACTGGTGTTAGGGGAAGAGGATCTGGGCCTCAGGGACTAGAGATAATGTTCCTTTCATTCCTTCCAAAATCAGGCTCCTAGAGGGCTATACTTGGCTGACCCCATCTCCAAAAGGAGGCTAGGGCCTGCTGATGACTCCTGGCACTGAGGAAGCTCAGGACCCATACCTATAAGGGCCATCTAAAACGTGGCCTGGAGAGGTAGGGACGTGCTGGCATGAAGCTTCTGCTTGGCTCCCTCCAGCAACCCCACATGCTTGTCTGTTCCCCAGCTCAGGGCTGCCTGGCAAGCAGTTAAACTCCTGGGTTCCGCCCAGGGCTCTCCTCCACTGGGATGCCAGGCTTGCTGCTGTGATTGGACCCTAGAGGAAAGAGGAAAAGGAGAATAAACATCTAAGCTGGTAAATGGAGCAAAGTCTAAGAAAACCAAGTGCTAAATCCTGAGGACAGGGAAGGGCAAGGAGTAACTGGTTAGAAAGGTGATCAGCCTAACTTGTTCTCACAAAAGAAAACCATTCCAAGGACAGATTTTATCTACGAAGGATGACCACCACAAAGGATGAAGATATCTGACCCCAGGAGACTCGGGCCACTATACTGGGCAAGAGGAAAGCTGCCCTGGAGGATCAAGCACACTGTCCTGGAAAACTTCCTGTAGCTTGTGGGTCTCCTGTATGTTTTCCAGATGGTGAAATGCAACTCTACCTCTCCCACACACACCCCACCCCAGAAGTGCCTCCCTGCCTGGGGAGCTAGCTGTCTATAGTGCCCAGCAGCAGCCTAAGGGTGGGGAAGCAAAGCAAAGAGAAAACAAAGGAGATGTTTACCTTGGTGTTTTCTTAAAACAAAAAATTGCTCACTAGTCCACAGTCAGTTATCAACTGCAGTTTCCAAATGTGCCAAAGAGGGAAAGGTCTACTGGGAAGGCTAAAGAGAGCAGAGAGAGACAGAGAGAATAGACAAGCTATTGAGCAATGGCCAGCCTCCAGTTCTGCAACACCACAGGGGAAGGCTGGAGAGGACCATGCACCACACAGGTACCCAAGGCTGCTGTGCAAGCTCACAGAGGGAAGTCACCAAGCTCAGTGGTGTGGAAAACAGGCCACATGGAGGACTTATTCAGAATCTGAATGCAAGGCCAGTCATCAGAAAACCTTCAGTAAAACTAGTATCTTAGACTTTTCATGTAATTTGGGCTATGTCACAACTATGCAAGTCTGCTGTTGCCACTTAGAGGCAGCCACATGCAATCCATAAATAAATGGGTTCCAGTGAAATATTTATTTAAAAGAATACAGCCAGCCAGATCTGGCCCTTGAACCACATTCTGCCAGCTTGTTGCAGGGAATTTTAGAGGATTGTTTCTTCCAAGTATTTCAATAAAGATACTTGTCTACCGGAGATCTAATACTCAAGTTTCCAGGTAATGTTGTTACCTAAACCATGAACAATGCCCCACCCAAACCTCCATGTAGGCAATGACACTAAGCTCTTCAGGGAAGTGAAATGCCAAACTAACAGAGCTAAACACAGAAGACCCTTGAGAGTTCAGGCAATGAACAAAAAGGTAACAGGCAAGCCTCACTAGGAAAAAATGTATTATTGAAAATAATCAACTTAGGTAAAAATAACCAATATCATTATGTTGACAAAATAGTGGTTATTTCATCACAAAGAGAAAATAACCCACAAAGCCATTTTACATCTCTCATACTCTTACACAACAGCCCAATGAGTAGCTTGAAGCCAAGGGATTTTTTTTTTTTTTGGGGGGGGGGGGGTCAGTTGTGGGGCTTCAACTCAAGAGCCTGGACACCATCCATCCCTGAGCTCTTCTGCTCAAGGCTAGCACTCTGAGCCACAGCACCACTTCCAGTTTTCGGGTGGTTGATTGGAGATAAGAGTCTCACAGACTTCCTGCCCAGGCTAGCTTTGAACTGTGATCCTCAGATCTCAACCTCCTAAGTAGCAAGGATTACAGGCATGACCCACTGGGGCCTTGCTCAAGAGATTTTTTTTTTAAATGCCAGTAATGGGGCTTGACCTCAAGGCCTTGTACTTTTGCTCAGCTTTTTCTACTCATAGCTGTACTCTGCTACTTAAGCCACGACTCTACTTCCAGCTTTTTTTTTTTTTTTTTGCCAGTTCTGGGACTTGAACTCAGGGCCTGGGCACTGTCCCTGAGCTCCTTTTGCTCAAGGCTAGGGCTCTACCACTTGAGCCACAGCACCACTTCCAGCCTTTTCTGTGTATGTGGTACTGAGGAATTGAACCCAGGGCTTCGTGCATGCTAGGCAAGCACTCAACTGCTAACTACCTTCCCAGCCCTATTTCCAGTTTTTTGCTAGAGACAAGGATCCCAAGGAACTGTCTGCTCATGCTGGCTCCAATCCTCAATTCTCAGATCTCAGCCTCCTAAGGAGGGTAGTTTTGAGTCACTGGCACCAAGAATTTTTTTTTTTTTTTTTAAATCTCCATTAACTAGGGGTATAGTTTAGTGGTACAGTATTTGCCTAAGTAGCTTGGGTTCTGACTAGGGGTATGGATCAAGTGGTAGTACATTTACCTAGAATTACCTAACTATGAAGCCCTATAATACAAAAATGATTCCGGATTCAATTTCGAGTACAACAGCAGTAAAAAATCAAAATAATGGAATTTCTGGACATGTGACAAAAGAGGCACCAAATTAGGTCTGTACCGTGAACAAAATATACAGTATGAGTAGCAAATAGAGCCAGAAAAGGCTTCAGTGTAAGAAAAATAAAGCCAAATGGCTTATATTTGGAAAAAAAATTTGGCAAGGAAAACATGCTGATGTGAAATTCTGAATCAGGAGTTCCTTATAATACCAACCCTAAGAAGTTCAGCTCATCTAAGTAGATAGTCCTTTAGAAAATATACTCAGAAAATATACTTAAGAAATAAGGCTCAGGGCTGGGAAGGTGGCTCAGTGGTAGAGCGCTTGCCTTGCATGCCTGAGGCCCTGGGTTCGATTCCTCAGCACCACATAAGCAAAAAAGAAAAAAGAAGCCAGAAGTGGCGCTATGGCTCAAGTGGTAGAGCGCTAGCCTTGAGCTGAATTGCTGAAGGACAGCGCCCAGGCCTAGAGTTCAGGCCCCACGACCGGACCAAAAAAAAAAACAAATAAGGCCCTATGAGATGTACAAGTTGTTATGTCGAAAACAAACTTTACAACTTTGGTGGGGGGGGGGAGGGGAGGATTGGGTGGGGGGGAGGAGAAGGATAGGAAGGGAAAACAAAGGAGGAGGCTACAATGCTTGATAAGAAATGTACTCATTATCTTGCCCATGTAATTGTAACCCCTCTATACAGTATTTTCACAATAAAAAAAGAAAGAAAGAAAGAAAGCCCTAGCTGAATGCCAATGGCTCATGCCTGTAATCCTAGCTACTCAAGGAGGCTGAGATCTGAGGATCGCAGTTTAAAGCCCGAGCAGGGAAATCCGTGAGACTCTTATCTCCAATAAACCACTCAGGAAACCAGAAGTGCACTGTGGCTCAAGTGGTAGAGCGCTCTCCTTGAGCTGAAGGGCTGAGGGACAGCACTCAGGCCCAGAGTTCAAGCCCCACAACCGACAAAAAAAGAAAAGAAAAGAAGAAAAGAAAAAGAAAGAAAAGAAACAGGGCCCTCAACTGTTGTCCCCTTTTCTCAACACTCAGAGTTGGAGCCCATAGGAACTAAACCATCCATCACAGTGGCTCATAGTATAAGTCTCTGCCTTGCACCTGCATGCTACCTCAGAATTCAGAAAACTGATTCCTACTATAAACACATATTTGTGTTCTCAAGCATAGGTCTAAGTGATCACATAGGAAGTCTCAGGGAGGCTGTCCAGGCCTAGGCCCACCCTTTGACTTCCATTCCTCATCTGTAAGATAGTTCAACAACTCCCACCTCCCAGCACAGTGCAAAGTTCTCGAGTACATACAGAGATGGTTCTTAGTATGGTACCCACCAAGTAAATGCTCAGTCAAAGCCCATTTATGTCATGTTAGCATGGTGGGGTGTGGAAGCAGCCTGCATGCCTCCCACAGCTTTTCCAGAAACCCCAGCCTGACAATTTCCAACTCAACACTAGGACTAAACCACTATGAAACACAACAACAGGAAGCTGGGCTTTCCACCACCCTGATCCCACCACACCTGACTTCACGGGTCAGCCCCAGGTGCCTATGCCCTTCCTATACACCGTGGATCCAGATGAAATGGTCCTTTACCAATGGCATGTGCTGCCCCAACTCCTGGGCAAATGCTATTCTGAGCCAAACTAACAAAGAAAAACTTCATTGTCCAAGTGACATAACCTTAATGACCAGAAGAATGTCTGAACTTGCTATTTCCTATTATCAATTACTCTAAGCCAATTCTGACTTAATATGATCTATTTTGAGTGCCAGTTGGTCTATAGCTTGGTGTCATCCAAACTACTCAGGCAGCCAGAAGGCAAAGAATGGGAAGAGAAATGGAGGCAGCAGAATACAAGGCAGGGGAGAACAGTGAGCACGTCTCTGTATAAGCACTGAGAAGTAGCAATTTCACTTGCCCTCTGTGTGCCAACACTGGAAGATGTGCCACATGGGGTGCTTACCTGCTGCAGCAGATTTGTCACCAAGGAGCCTGGTCTGACTGCCTGGGATGGCGTGCAGGTCAGAATTCTCAGGGGACGGCGGCAGGCTCTGTGCTCGGGTAGCCAGGAGTGCATTGAGGTACTGCAGTCGTGTAACCTGGAAGGCAGGTGTTACCCAGCAGGCACAGTATGTGAAGTAGATGCTGCTAGTAAGGCATAAACAAGGGCTCACTTCTGACCTTCACTAGACAGGCAGCACAAGGACAAAGGAAGAACTTTAAGCTAGTGAAGTGCAGAGAAAGCCCTGGAACCAACAAGTGCTTTCTTTTCTTTCCTTTTTCTCTTTGTCAGTCATAGGGCTTGAACTCTGGGCCTGAGCTGTCCCTGAGCTCTTCAAATCAAGGCAAGTGCTCTACCACTTGAACCACAGCTCCACCTCCCCAAGTGCTTTTTTGTTTTTTACTATACTGGGTCTTTTTTGTCCTGAGTTTTGATCTCAGGGCCTTATGCTTTGCTATGCCTAGTACTTGCTTGGGCCATACCGTTAGGCCCTTTTGCTCTGGCTTTGAGATATGGTTTGCTCTTTTGGCCAGGCCACCCTGGACAACTACCTTCCTAGTTATGTTCTAGCTGGGATGACAGGTATGTGCCACCATGCCTAACTTTTTCTGTTGGGGTCTTAAGAACTCTTCTGCCAGGGCTGACCTGAAATCTTGATCTTCCCCATCAGCTTCCCATATAGCTGGGATATTAGGTATGCACCAAAATGCCTAGCTATTATTGACTGGGATGGGATCTTATGAACTTTTTGATAGACTTGCCTTAAATTTCAATCCTGATCTCTGTTTCCTGAGTAGCTAGCATGAGAGGTATGAGCCACTTGTGCCTGGCATAAGCCAAGTGTTCTTGAGATCTCCACAGAGCATCTGAGTATGATTAAGGTACTGTATGCATGTTAAAACAGAACATATCAGAGTGAAACCCCTTTGGTCAACTAATTGATGATATTAGTACTCCACAAGTTCCAATGGAGATCATATTTGAGGCCTGGAGGCAGACCCACATGGATGGTCCATAGCCATCCACAGAGTAGAGCCTCATCATTTAGGAAAAAGAACAGGTATAATCTTGGGAGAGTCATTTAGTTTACTCTGCATATATACACTGTAACCAGCTAGACTAGCCCCCTGGAGATAGCAAACTAATTAAAGCCAACACCAATGAGCAGTCCAAGTAGTTACCTTAATGAGCTGCAAGTCAGAGAGGGCCCGCACAGTATAGTCAGGACAGTATGCTGAGGAACGGATACTGCTCTCTAATGGCTCGGGCTGCTGGTCATGGCGAGTAGGCTGTCGCGAGGAGACTGGGGACTGGTGAACTAAGAAAAGGAGTAATCAGTGATGTTTCAACTGAATGGTTTCTAAGAACTATCCACAAAATCACCCTTGTAGGGATAGGTGGAGACTTAGAAAGAGTAGAGGACACATCTGAGGAAGGTTTCCAGGAATGGGGTGGGTCATGAAGATGAAGAAGGAAGAAATGTTGTGGTGCCCTCTATGTAGCACAGAGACAAGGAACATTGGTGTGGGAGCAATGGGCTCTCAGGGAAGCTAGAGAGCCACCAAGGGAGACAGGGAGGGGGAATCTGCAGACCATGACACCAGCCCTAAGGTACAGGGGACATAGCTCACCTGAGGATGGTGCTGTCAAAGCAGATACTCCATAGTAGGTGAAGGCCCCATTTTCAAACTTCAGGCCCTCCTTTCCAATCTCTACCTCAACCCTGCCCTGAGGGAGTGGGGAAGATGAGGAGACAAAAGAGGTAGGCAGATTATCTTTCCCATCAGAAGGGAGTACAGGGATAAACTATTGCCCTTAATTATTCAGGGGTGGGTATCTTGGATGTCCCTCTCTCCCTACCACTCCTCAAGGACTCTCCCTGCATTTCTGAGGATGGGGGAGGCTCACCTGCAGGATGAGAATGAAGTAGTCCACTGGCTGGCTACGCTGGTACAGGTAATGATGTGCAGCCAGGCGGTTGCTCTCATCAAACTTCACCTCTTGGTTCACACTGGGATGCTTCAGCAAGTGCAGCAAGACCTTTTCGGAGATTCTCAGTGGGCTGAACACATCCACCTCTGCCCCATAATGGGAGAAAGGGACAGTGTCCACTAGGGCCCAAGTGGCCTGTCACCTTCTATGCTCTCCTCAGCAAGCCTCTAAGCTGTTACATTCACACAAAAGAGCTGGGCAGAGCATATATCCAGACCAGCTAAGGCTCCCCAGCCACACAACACCTCAGGGAGCACCAGCCCAGCACTGTTTTTGCCCATGTGTGCCACACCTCAGCTGCACAGGGAAGCAGAAGTGCTCTCTTCTGAGCTTCTGCACACCATGACAGGGAGCCAGAATTAGTGTCTGCCACTGGACTGTGAGAGAATTGATAAGGACCACTCTTTCCCTTACCTCTGGAAAGGAAGCGTTGGGTGGCTAGGAGCAGCTGGGGTGAGATTTTTACTTTATATTCATCATCAGACACCTTGAACAAGGAGAATTCCTCCTTCCGCTTTAGCGGGGCACTCAGGGGAACAGACTTCTTCCTCATTGTATCAGCTCCTGCATTAGTGAGAAGAAGGCATGTATAGGCATCAGCAATTGGTCCAATGAACACAACCAAACCAAGACACTCTGTTCCCTTTGTCCTTCTCCTAGGGCCTGGGGAACCTATGAGAAGACAAAAACAGAGTCCCATGGACACATCTTAGTCCTGTTCCCTCCAAGGTACCTGGTAGTCATTCTCCACACAGGACTACACATACCCCAAGGCGTTTGACCAACATTCCAAATATGCACCAAGGAAGTACAGCTCCCTTCCATGGCCCATTTCTCCTGGAGACAATAATGTTATGAATAAAGCAGTTTGTATACAATAGTAGGCCTTCTTGGGAGACCTAAAGGTCTCCCCCACTGGAAAATATGTTGTTGAGGATCACCAATAACAAATGGCAGCAGCTGTTTTTTGTTTTTGTTTTTTGATGGTCGTGGGGCCTGAACTCTGCGCCTGGGTCCTGTCCCTGAGCTCTTCAGCTCAAGGCTAGCGCTCTACCCACTTGAGCCACAGCGCCACTTGCGGCTTTTTCTGCTTATGTGGTGCTAAGGAGTGGAACCCAGGGCCTCAGGCATGCAAGGCAAGCACTCTACCACTCAGCCACCTTCCCAGCCCAGCATCTGTTTTTGAACCTTATCCACTGTGTGACCTAGGAAAAAAACACCAAGAAAGGACAGGACAATGAAGGACAGAGTACTTTCTTGGAGATGAATGAAATAAGGAGACTGGGTCTAAGCAATATGCCTTGTTTTTACAGTCATCCTGGTGCTCTGCTAGGTAGAGGGGGCTTTCCACCCAGCTTTGAAGAACCTAGAAGGGAGACCATTCACTGGACTGTAGATGTCATGCTGTTTAGTCTTAGAAGAGCTTTTGCCACAGAGAATGCTGGCCTTCAGTTTCCCCTAAAAGGTTTGATTCACTTGCCTCTCAGCCTCTAGCTTCTAAGTATAACCCTATATGGAAAGTTTAAGCTGACCCCTGAGCTACTTCCCTAGATAGAAAGTTCTGCTGGAGCTGGACACTGGTGGCTCATGCCTGTAATCCTCGCTACTCGGGAGGCTGAGATCTAGAATCACAGTTCAAAGCCAGCCCAGGCAAGAAAGTCTGTGAGACTCTTATCTCCAATAAACCACTAGAAAATCATAAGTGGTGCTGTGGCTCAAGTGGTAGAGCGTTCATCTTCAGCTGAAGGGCTGAGGGACAGCACTCAGGCCCTGAGTTCAAATCCCATGACTGACAACCAAAAAAAAAAAAAAAAAAAGCAGCTTCTCTGTTTCTCACTGACTGAATTCCCTTACAACATGAGGATGGCTGCTAATGGAAGCTGCAAGCATATACGTGAATTACATGATGAATACCATGATTTGCACGGAGGTCCAAGTACTCTCCTGCAAGGGAACAATATTGGTCCATGAAGATAAGATACAAGATGAATGGGGCCAGGCTAGGGAGCCAGACAGTTTCTAGTGGTACTGAGATCCACTAGCCTCTAGTACACAGGACACTGTATCAGGACACTGGAAGAACCAGTTGAGCCAGAAAATGACTGGGAGTAAAAACTCACGGTAGTCTTCAGACTCATCCAGGATTTCAGACTTGATGATCTCCTCAATGACGTCCTCCAAAGTGACCAGGCCCAGGACCTCATAGAAGGGGTCGCCTTCACCCTCATTGTTCACCTTCTGCACAATGGCCAGGTGGGACTTTCCTGTATGGAGGGAGACACTCATTTATAGCCTGCAGGGCTTCCATGTTTCTTAATCAACCCTGATGCAAACTCACCACAACAGCAGAAGTTAACATTTGTGCTGGGTACTAAGTCACTTTTTCTCTATGTTCTTAAGACTTTCAATATACTAAGGGAAACCTCAGAGGCTTTCTTGAGTGCAGCAGAGCTAGGATTTAACCTCAGGTCTATATAACTCCAAACCATAGCTTATAGACTCCCCTGAGACAATCTAAAAGAGCCAGGGGGCAACTGGCCATCCTGTTAGATCTCTGAAAGAGGTATTCCTTTTTTTCTTGTCAGTACTAGGGTTTGAATTCAGGGCCTGTGGTTGCTAGGTAGCACTCTACCAACTTGAAGATGGAGTCTCAAGGTCTTTTCTGTCAGGTGGGGCCTTGAACCTCAGTCCTCTGGAGCTACCTCTGAGGGGGTAGAATTATAAAGCAGCAGCCTTTTCTTTTTTTGAGACAGGTCCTCAATGTGGAGCTACATTCACTGTCTTCCTGCCTCAGCCCTGGAGTGCTAGGATTATAGGCATGTATCACCATGACCTAATTCTTAAGGCTGTCCTCTGGGAGTTGTTTAGGGAATGGAGATATGTGAAACCAGGTCACGCTGGAATCCAAACTGTGAAGGGACAAGGAGTTGGAGGTGGGAACTTACCCCCTTGCTCTTTTTTCTTTCTCCTGTTAACTTGTTAGCTTACTATTTGGTTCATTTAGTGAGGACATGTAATCTTGAACAAAGCCCAAGTCTCAGAGTTCTGAGGAATCTTTAGGAATTTACTCAGAATAAGTGTCTTTATTCATAGAATTTACATTTATTGAGAGAAACAGAAGGCAAGCTACACATGTAATTTTAAATCTCCTGAATAGCTAAGAATCAAAAGACTCAAATTAATAAAATTAGAAACAGGGAACAACAAGTATCAAAGATATCCAAAGTATCATGAGGCTGAAAGGATCTGTCACATCCATCCCAGGGGACTACACAAAAGCAGGCAGACACAAGGTTTATTAGAGAAGCCATGTTTGCCCCAAGAGAGACCACATGGCAGCCTCCACTATCTAGGTAGCAGCAGGGTCTGAGGGGTCGAAAGTGAGGTAGATGGGAGTTCAGGTGGGTCTGGGCGGAGAGAGGGAGGGGCCAGCTGTATGGTAGGAACTCCAGGGCAGGGAGGAGCTCAGGTCTGCGTGGAGCTGAGGACCAAAGGTGGGCATAATGCTTACAGAGGCAATACTTAGAAAACCTAAATCAAATAAATATGGAAGAAAAATATAGAAGAAATAGATACATTTTCTAGATATAGTTGATGTACCAAAACTGAACAAAGAGGATATGAACCACTTATAACAAGCAATGACATTGAAGCAATAATAGCCTCCTAACAAAGAAGACAAGATGGATTCACTGCCATTCTATCACATCTTTAAAAAAGAACACTAGGGGCTGGGAAGGTGGCTCAGTGGTAGAGTGCCTGCCTAGCATGCATGAGGCCCCTGGGTTCTATTCCTCAGCACCACATAAGCAGGAAAAAAAAAAGCCAGAAGTGGTGCTGTGGTTCAAATGGTAGAGCACTAGCCTTGAACTGAAGAGCTCATGATCAGCACCCAGGCCAAGTTCAGGCCCCACTACTGGCAAAATAAATAAATAAATAGAACACTAATACGCCAACTCTTTCATTAAATAGAAAAGGAAAGAACACCACTGAACTAATGCTATGAGCAAGTATTACACTCATTCCAAAACCAAAAACACCCAACAACAGCAAAAAAAATTTCTTTGATAAATATTGACGCAAAACTTCTGTGTCTGTGTGCGTGCACTGGTCCTGGGGCTTGAACTGAGAGCCTGCGTGCTTTCCCTAAGCACTTCTACTACTTGAGCCAAAGCTCTACTTCTAACTTTTTTGGCAGTTAATTGAGATAAGAGTATCATGAACTTTCTTACCTGAGCTTTCTTTGAACCACAATCCTCAGATCTCAGCATCCTCAGTAGCTAGGATTATATATAGGCTTGTGCCACCAACGACCAACATAGGGCAAAAATTCTTAATAAAATGCTTGCAAATAGAATTCAACAACATATTAAAAGTATCACCCATCATGATCAAGTCAGTGTCATCCCACAGATGTGAGAACAATTTAGCATATGTAAATCAATAAATATAGTACATCATATAAGGATTAAGAACAAAAATCATATGATTACCTCATTGATATAAAAAAATCTTTTTAGGGCTGGAAAGGTGGCACAGTGGTAGAGCGCTTGCCTTGCATGCATGAGGCCCTGGGTTCGATTCCTCAGCACCACATAAGCAAAAAGAAAAAAGCCCGAAGTGGCTCAAAGTGGTAGAGCACTAGCCTTGAGCTGAAGAGCTGAGGGAAAGTGCCCAGGCCCCATGACCAGACCCCGCCCCCCCCCCCAAAAAAAAATCCTTTTACAAAATTCAACATTTTTTTTTTTAATTATAAGGCTCTGATGACCCAGTACAGGTGACTCATGCCTGGAATCCTACCTACTCATGAGACTGAGATCTGAGGATTGTTGTTCAAAGCCAGCCCAGGCAGGAAAGTACATGAGACTCTTATCTCCAATTAACCACCAAAAATGCCAGAAGTGGAGCTGTGGCTCGAGTGGTAGAGTGATAACCTTGAGCAAAAAAGCTCAGTGAGGCCGGGAATGTGGCTTAGTGGTAGAGTGCTTGTCTACCATGCTTGAAGCTCTGGGCTCAATTCCTCAGTACCACATAAACAGAAAATGCCAGAAGTGGTGCTGTGGCTCAAGTAGTAGGGCACTAGCCTTGAGCAAAAGAAGTTCAAGGACAGTACAAAGGCCCTGAGTTCAAGCCCCAGGACTGGCAAAAAAAAACAGCTCAGGGACAATGCCCAGGCCCCAAGTACAAAGACCAGCACACACACCCAAAAAGAATCCAATGAAGAAATTAATACTAAGAATAGAGAAGGAATGTACCTGAAATTTTAAAAAGCTAAACAAGACAAATTTAAGCCAATATCTTTTTTCTTTTTCTTTTTCTTTTTGGGTCCGGTCATGGGGCCTGAACTCTGGGCCTGGGCGCTGTCCCTCAGCTCTTCAGCTCAAGGCTAGTGCTCTACCACTTGAGCCACAGCGCCACTTCTGGCTTTTTTCTTTTTGCTTATGCGGTACTGAGGAATCGAACCCAGGGCCTCGAGCATGCAAGGCAAGTGCTCTACCACTGAGCCACCTTCCCAGCCCTTAAGCCAATATCTTATTAGAGAAAATTTTCCTCCAAAGTTTGGAAACAGCCTTGGTGCCAAGGGTGGCCCTCTTCCCCTCTTATTCATATCGTACTAGAATTCCTAGCCAAGACAGTAAGACAAGAGAAAGAAATAAAAAGGATTAAGGAAGGAGAAAGTCAAATTAGCTCTATTTGCCGATAATAAAACCCTATACATAACAGATCCTACAGACTCCACCAGAAAATTTCTAGGTCTGATAAAACAACTTTGGAAACATAGCAGAATATAAAATCAGTACTCAAAAAACAATAGTTTTTTTTTACAAAATACTTAAGTATTCACTTAACCAAGGGAGTAGAAGACTATAAATCCTTGAAGAAAGTGACCAGATATAGTAAGACTTCCTTTCCTATGCTCATAGAATAGGCAGAATTAGGGGCTGGGAAGTTGGCTCAGTGGTAGAGCACTTGCCTTGCATGCCAGAGGCCCTGGGTTCGATTCCTCAGCACTATATAAGCAAAAAGAAAAAAAGCCGGAAGTGGCGCTGTGGCTCAAGTGGTAGAGCGCTAGCCTTGAGCTGAAGAGCTGAGGGACAGCGCCCAGGACCAGAGTTCAGGCCCCATGACCGGACCCAAAAAGTAAAATAGGCAGAATCAATATCATAAAAATAGCCATCCTGCCACAGCAATCTACACATTCAAAGCAATACCCATCCAAGTCCCAATGTCATCTCACAGAAATAGAAAAATCAATTAAAAAATTCATATGGAGAAATAAAAAGCACCAAAGAACGAAAGTAGTTCTGAGTAAGAAGAGCAGCTTTGGAGATATCGGATCTCAATATACTAAAGGGCAATAGTAACAAAAACAAGTTTGCTACCAGCACAAAAACAGACCCAAAGACTAATGGAACAGAACAGACAGCCCAGGAATAAAACCATACAACCACAGTCATCTAATTTTCAACAGAGGAGCCATATTATACCCTGAGGAAAAGACAGCCTCTTCAACAAATGGTGCTTTGAAAATTGGTTATCCATTTGCAGGAGACTGAAACTTGACCCCTGTTCAAAATTCAACTCCAAATGGATCAAAAACCTCAAAGTAAACCTGAAACTTTAATCTACTACAGGAAAACAGAAAAACCTGGAGGTTACAGGCACAGACAATTATTTGCTGAATAAGATTCCAACTGTCCAGAAATCAAGAACTAGAATTGATAAATGGAATTACATCAAATTAAAAAGTTTCTGCACAGCAAAACAATTACCAAAACCAAGAGACAATCCACAGAATAAAGTCTTGGCCAGCTAGTTATTCAACAAATAAAGGATATGCAGAGTATATAATAATAACAATATCCAGAATATATAAAGTGTTCAAAAAATAGCAAAAGAACAAATAACTGAAGACAATTTTCCAAAAAAGAAATACAAATGAATGGATACATGGAGAAAGGTTCAACACCCTTAGCTATAAAGGAAATACAAATCAAAACTACACTAAGATTCTATTTCACCCCAGTGAGAATGACAATCACCAGCTGGGAACTGGTGGCTCATACCTACCTACTCAAGAGGATGAGATCTGAGGATCAAGATTCAAAGCCAGCCGGGGCAGGAAAGTCTGTGAGACTTTTAGTTACCACTGAACTACTCAGAAAAAGCCGAAAGTGAATAAAAATAAAAAAAAATAAAAATAAAAATGCTTGCTGTGTGATAATAAACAAGTTCCTGCTTGACTTGAAAAAAAAAAAAAAAA